ACTTATCTAAAACCAACAGAAAGCAGCGTCGGAGGCTCACCACTTTACACTGGGGGCTCCTCGGATAATGAAGAGAAACCTTAAACCAATTAGAAACAGTTGGCCTATATCACATGACAGGAACATATGAGCTTTTAGTGAGACTACTCTGATGTTTTTCTGTCTAAGTATTTAAGCTTAACTAGTTTGCAAAAGACCACCTGGTAGATTTATGATGACAGATGGTCAGTGTTACAGGTGCAGGGGCTCTGGGCAATACATATTTGGTGTTGACAATCCATTCTTCACAAAGTTATGAGTTACAACTTTGACGAGGCCATAGTGTCCTTCTGGTTTAACATGAGCCAAGGTCAATGTTCTCACCAACAACAGTCATGCTCCCAAGTTCATTACCTTGGTGGAGGGTTTTTCATAGCTTTTGAAAATTCCCATGAATAAGTATTAGTATTTAAATGTCCCATATTACACCAAATTGTTTTCTGTATGCTCAAAGCCATGTTAAAAAATGTATTACCTCCTCAAAGACATACCTGGGATTGTGTTTTGTTATATTTGCACATGTTTGAGTAACCCTGTATTAATTTGTCTCCAAAGTTCAAAATACTCTGTTCCACCTTGTGATGTCATGTAGTGGTAGTTTTTAACAGCTACCTTTTACCTTTTGTTCAGTAGAAGTTGGTAATTCCAGGGCTGAGATTGTCCAAATGACTCTAGTGAGGTTGTATGGAGTTTAAAAACACAGTGGAGCACTTCCTGTATTATCATACGATATCACATGGTGGAACAAAGTGTTTTCTGATTGAGAGAAGAACAAATGCAGGGTTAAACATGTGCAAATGAAACAAAACTCTGGGTATGTTTCTGATGAGGAAACAACATTATAACAAATCAGAAAATGGTGTAATATGGGTGCATTCCATTTATATAGCACTTTTTGGACACTCAAGACACTTTGCATTATTTATTCACTCAGTCCAGACCTGGTGGTGATAAGACTGTCGCCACGGATATACTGAAGTAGTCTGCTGATCTGATGATATAGACGATAAATTATAATATTGTAACAAATTTATGCCACTGACACAAAAACACAAGAGCAGATTTAAACCACAAAAAGTATTCTAGATCTACAATCTTGTTAAAAAAAATCACAAGCTGCAATAAATAAATAACAGAATGAAACACTGAAATGAAAGTACTTAGTTTTGCATCTGTAATTAGTTATTATATAAGTTATTAATGCAACCTTTTTTACAGCTTCAATCTTATACCAAAAATAAGTAGAAAAAGTACACACAATAAATGCTGACCCCCCAAAAAATATTGTTCCATCTGTCATATATTGAACAATAAGTCGATATTTATCATGACAGGTCTTGCCCTTGGCCCCTCTGACCACCACCAATCACTCACACACCACAGTGATACTTGGCAATGTGGGTGAAATGTCTTGCCTAAGGACACACTGTTACCCCACTGCTCTCTCATGCCAGTACAAACAGAACCAAGCCTGCGAGACGAGATGGGCATTCTTAAAGGTGCATTGTGTAACTTTTCTGGTGGAGGGTCTGTCAAATGCTTTTCTCTATAGAGATGTTATAGTTTCAGGTCAAATCTATGGAAAGGCAACTCCACTCATAGTCAGAATGTCTGTTTTTCTAGGTATTTTTGACCAGTAAAACCACCTGTAATTGAATAAATGTACAATAGATGCAGATGTATTTAACTTATTCAGGTAATTAAAATGTATCTTATCATGATTTAATTACAACTGTGCCAACATTTATTAAAACTGTATATTTGAATGAATACAGATATGTTAGATAGCAAATACCACAGAAAATACCTCTGAAGTTGGAATCCAAAATTACCTCTTACGATAACACGAAGCTCAAGAAATAACCGCCCACCCCCAAGTAAATTTCTCATTAATTTTTCCCATAGACCTTCCGAAAACAATTAATATTAAAAGTTTAAATGCTTGCAAGGATAATCAGCAATGTGGTGACTAATGAGCACAATCTGTTTCTGAAGCATTATAAACCACACAGTGATTAAAGCATATTAATGAATCTTGGGTTTTACATATGCTTTTTGGACCTAAAACAATCACATTATGTATATTTGTTAACACATAGCTGTTACCCTCTGCCATGTCTTTGACTCTTAATATTTAAATTTTTTGAAAAGTTTATGGGGGAAATGAATGAATAATTTACTTCCAGAACCGAAGTGAGTGGTCACTGTTGAACTTGAGGCAGTACAAGGATTTATAATGACATTTTCTGCTGGGGTTGACAATGCAGCAAAAATTATAGCTAACTTAAAGGTGCACGGCATTAACATTTATAGTTTACAGTCTGCGACCTGATGTCTCCATGGAAGTGTTATTGCTTTGTTTAGAATCTTTCACAGTATAGATTAAACCTATATATCACGAGGGAGACAAGCAGGTTTAAGCTCTATGCTACATTACAAGTCAGATCTGTGGAGAGCTTGCCCCTATTCACAGAAGGTGAAAAATAACAATAAGTTCAAATATTTGTGCAGATAAAACACATATCTATTACAGAAATCTTTCTTAATTGATGAACTCTTTCTTTTACAAAATATAATATTATGTATAACCTGAAACTTTAAGAAAAATGCTATTTCAACACAATGTTTTAACATTAACTTATAAGCAAACAGAAATAAGTACATTTTTCTTGGAAATCCTGCACTCAGCGTCCACTTTTCTCACTTTTGACATTTTGCTGATGAGGGTGTCATGGTCAATAGTCAAAACAATAGTCCTTTAAGAGTGCTTGGAAAGAGGCAAGTCTTCATTTGTGCTGCTCTGGTGGGAGGCAGCCATGCACAGAGGTGCTGGAGACGCTGTTATGCTACGCGGCGCAGAAAATTATCAATATTTTAATAGAAAATATAATCAAAATATTTTTATAGAAAATCAGATGAGGGCCAGATTAAAGGTCTTGGAGGGCCGGATCTGGCCCCCGAGCCGTATGTTTGACACCCCTGTGCTAGATGGAAATGTTTAAAAGTCATACCATGGAACATTCCAGGAGAAAGCAATAACATCTCCATGGAGACAAGCAGGTAGTGCACCCTCCACCAGAAAAGCTGCTCAGTGCACATTTAACAAAATAAATGATGGTGTAGGATATATCTGGCTGTTTGCATTGACCTACATTCATGGTGGACAGACCCTGACCACTGCATGCCTGTCTATCTCAATCCTTACAACACATAATTTACCCGGCCTCTTTGCTCCTTTTAAAGCGCTAGATTTATTGCCCCACCATCACCTCACCAATGCCCCGCCTACATACAGACTTAATATTATCACCCCAAACATCCAGCAATCTTAACAGGTGCTTCGGCTGCTACGAAGGGGTCTATTTTGGGAGAAGGAGTAGGATGAGATGGTTTGAGAGCCTGAATCACAGCATGGTAAAGCTAGCTAGCTCCCCATAAAAACATGAGCACTCAAGCTACACCCACGTTCACTCCCTGTAAATTAGATGTGTCAGTGGCCCGTCACTGACTTCTGATCATCAATGAGAATTTTGAAATTTTAATGGTGCATTGTGTAACTTTTCTGGAGGAGGGTGTGTCAAATGCATTTCTTGATGTTGATGCTATTGCTTTGTTTGGAATGTTTCACAATATGGCATTAAACATTTCTGTCTTCATGGAGACCAAACCAGACCATGTTACAGGTCAGATCTGTGGAGAGGCAATCCCGCTCACAGTCAGAATGCCTGTGTTTCTGGGTATTTTTGAGCTATACCACCAGTAATTCAATAAATGTAAGGCTGAGGTGCTTAAAGTCATACAGTGGAACATTTCAGGCAGACCCATGACATCCATAGAAACAAGCATGTGACAAACTCCCAACCAAAAAGTGAACATAGAGCACATTCAGTATTACAATTTATTTACGGCAACAACTGTTTCACATGTTGAAGGACTTTTTGAGGACCCATAAAGGACTTTTTCCCATTCAAAAGAGAAATTCAGCTTCATTGCTATGACCACAAAGACGGTTGCCATAGTGTGCAACAATCCATGAATAGGCCAATAATATTTAATATAGACACAGGAGGGGCAGCTAAAATTAAAACGGCTGAAATGCAGATTTTTATTTATACAGTTCGTTTGTGGGTCTCTTCACTGATAGATATGATTTGCTTCAATATTTGTGAAATTACCTTTTGGATATTTCTTTTGCAAGTGCAGTATATATAAATGGACATAGCTAATCCACTAGCCACTGCATTCCAATTGACTTTACATTGAAAAATTGTTGTCCCTCTCTGTAGCTGCTGCAGTGAGCCTCGTCATTTCAGTCTTAAAATGTTCATATTAACCCGCTCTACATGATCCTGGTGTTTTATTTCTCCAATTTGTCCGTAAATAAATTCCTATTCCTAATGTGAAACTCACTCCAAATTTGCCCCAATAATTGCTAGCCTGGTGAGCTTTGTAAAATGTCTTTGCCCTTTGTCACCATTTTACACTACAGCTACAGTCCTGCCCAATAAAACTTTCAAGACTATGATCGTAAAACTAAATGAATAAATAATGAGAACTATAGTATGTATATTTATAGAAACAACTTCACATAGATTTCACTCTGGATGCCCGAAACTACAATTTCCTTTCTCTAAACTGCAGCCAAAACAAGGACTATGGTTGTGAAGTTTTGCAGCTGGATTTCCAGAGCTTGGCTGTTTAAAATGATATGAATAAAACATAAATCAGGACGAATGATTGAGCAATGATGAACTTTCAGACACTCTTAATATTATCTGCATGACCACTGTACAGCCATTGAGGTTAGAATCAGTTCTGCTATATGGAAACCGCAAGCATTGGGTTTGTTTACACTTGCAATCAAAAAATGTGTTGAAAGTAAACAGTGTAGTCAGAATAAAGGGCAACCTTCTACTTCAAACTATTGCACCAAATCAGAACAAGAAAAGGTTGTGTTAGGAAAGGGATGGTACAAGGTAAAATATATGAATAATTAATGAAATCACCACTGTGCCCGGGGTCTGTCTGGCCCAGAAGTTAAAAACCACATGATACATGTAATATTATGCAGTAGCCTAGTCATGACTCTATTACCCCTGCAGTCATAAAAAGTAGGCTATGGCAATTTAACTGGTGAATCTTAGTCATTCAATCAAACATATTACTAAGGACAGTTACTGGACCAGCAGCACGTGTTCCTAGAAGAAAACTGCACCAATACTAGCTGGAATATTACTACATCTGAGAGCAGCAGGTGTCTGTACTTTCTACTCCACTACATTTTTTAATTGGACCTGATCAAGTTAAAGTAGTTTTTGTAACTGTCTGCTGAAAAGCCTGAGGGTTTATTTGGTCAAGTTTATAGTCTGAGCAAACTAATATACAAAAAAAAAAAAAAAAAAAAAAAAACTGTGAGAAAAATGATTAAATAATTTATGTTGAACAAAATTCTGCTCAATTCTGTGTCAAAATCACTACATTTGAAGAGTTATTAAATCTCAAAGTCTAGCATGAAATACTTTTTTTTTTACACTTTAGGTACAATACTTATAGTTTTATTTAAGAAGATTTTCCATGTGATACTCTTACTTTTTTTATCTGTACAAAATTGAATACTGAGCCTAACCAATAATATCCAGGATTTCATATTGCCATCCTTATTCATAGCCATTCATGTTAATTATGACTTAAGAAATTTGCCTTAATCAGATATAGACTATTAAAGATGATGTTCAAGAGACAACACAAAAGTACAAGAGAGCTAACCCAAATGGTTATATTGTGGTGCCATTCTTACCACTGCAACAACTGAGGCAAAACTGTGATAATGAAAGTTAGGAGCTCTTCAAGAAAGTAGTGCATCGCTTACCCAGTTTCTTCATTGGGTCCACGGGTTTATCGGACACTTTCTTCTTGTTCTCTTTGGAACTAGTGGCCTGGGATTTACTGCTACTGCCCAACATTACTGCACCTTACTTCACGTAAAATATCTAAAAACTTCTCTGTAGTAGTCCTATGGCAGATTTAACCAAAACGCGCGATACAGCAGGTGCCCGTGGGCTGTGCTCCAGTCACCCCGCGCGGACAGACATGCGTAAACTCAGTGCAAGAAGTTGAAGCAAGTTCAGTGAGCGACGGTCCGGTCCACATGTCCCACAAGTCCCTCCTCCGGCCCGGGCAGACCGTGGACCCACTCCTCATAACTGTGCGTAACATGAGTCCGGCGGCTGCACATTTTAAACACGCACCCCCACCTTGTCCTGCTGCTTACCGCCAGTGACGAAAACACTGCACAGATTTGAAATCAGCAAAACATCCAGTAGACTCTTTAAAACTACTTCTGAAATAAACTAAAATTGAAAATATGCTTCAAACTTTGCATTGCGCCTGCGCACGACCTGAAAACCGATTAAGTAAAAAGTAGTCACTTAAGTACATACTGTATATCGTTTTCTCCAATTATAGAGTCCAGATATTTGGTAAGCGCTATTAAAGTTAGATTATCAGACTAAACGCGAGCTGTGTTGTGAAATTAAACAGATCTAGCCAATATAATGCACAAAGTGAACAACAGGCTTGAATTCGCCACTAATATATATATGTATTCAATCAGTGTACTACAATCAGGAAATAGACGTGCGTAAACATTCCAGTTTCAGGGAAAGGCAGTTCCTAATGCTAATCAATTATGGTGTGGCGCCCTCTGGTGTCCAAACAGGGAAACTGACAATAAACCCTCCAAAACAACTAAACATGCAGAGTCCTCAGTAAATATTGTTGCATGAATGGTTATGAAATGCTTGACATCATCAGCAAGATAACAAAAATAGCCTTAAAGCGAGGTGTGGGCATCTGCAGACGGCCTAATTTAGCCAGTAGCCTATTGCAAGTCTACTGTGAAGATATGGAGTTTTAGTTGGATTATAAACCTAACCATATCAGTAAATCCAAAAATGTTTACTATGGTAGAGACTGAGATTTGGTGGCCAGAGTGGCCTGTTACATTCAGATACAGGTAGCTAATGTTTACTTCTATTCTGTGCATTGGTTCTATTTTTTATTTATTTTTTTTTTTTTATGCTTATTTTGTTGTTTATTTGGAATAACTTTGGCCTAATAGGGTACCATAAAGGGACTGCTAGAATACATAATTTATATCTTTCATCTACACTCAACTGCAGTAACAACCATGCTAGACAGAGAGAGATTAAGTCATGCCTGCTAATCCTCACAAGCTGTGATCTATGCAGGAGCGGGTTCTGGGCTGCACCTCTCCTTCATTTCAGAGTATGGAACCCTCAGTGTGATTTCACAATCTCGGTGGTCATTAGGTTTCACATTAACTGTAACATATGTAGGCCTATCACTTCTTCCTCAAAGGAGTCCCAGCTGAGCCTGCTTATTTGCAAGGGCTGAAACTCTGTCTGTTTCTATTAGTGGAAACAGTAAGCCAGTGTTGTTTGGAGCTATTGGATAGCCTCCGTTTCAAATCAGAGATGCAGGAAGGTCCAGTCCTCACCAAACGAGGTCTCACATTAGATAACACCATAATATTGATAACTGAAGTAAGGTGATTTACAGTGTCCTGCTAACTAATCTGTAGGCCTAGACCTATGCATACAAAATGCAATTAAATAATAAACCAAGTTAACACATAGGCCTACTCTAAACAGTGTAGATGACATAGGCCTTGCAGTTTATTTTAATATTGTGTAGGCCTAATAATAGGCTACAGTGTAGCCTACATTAATAATGCTTAGCCTACTGGGGGTTGAAGAAAGCGTCCAGACATGTATGCATTATAGTAAAAGCATTAGAAAATGTAAACGATGTATTTAATTTAGGCAACCATAATAAAGGGGGAATTACTGACACGCGTAGTAAACTAATGCAAGCTCCATTGCTTCCTTGCATGGCGAGGTACCGTCTATTACCTGGAACAAAAATCCTAATACGGTGGATTTATTAGATTGGTTAGCAAAGTGGCATTGTTGTTAACCTCCTAATACTGGTGAACATTTTATCGTTTGCCTATACATATACACACGCTGCGCGATAAATGTAACAAAAGGAGTAGTGGCCCAAAGGCGGAGTTTTCAATAGAAACACTGCGCTCCAGGAAATAGACCGACACCAAAGCAAACAGACTGGCCTAGTTAGCAAAGTCAAAGTAACTATTGCAGTTTTATCTTGGGTTCATGAGAAACGCCATTTTGACTTAGCTTTTAATTCATGTCAAATAAACAGCATTTTAAATATTATCGTCAGTAGGCCTTTCGCCTTTAAACACAAGTTTTGTAATTTGAAAAAACACCGAAATGCCAGCTAGTTAGCATTACACGATGGCTAACCTAGCATAACGTAGGCTACGGACTGACATCAATTGTTATTGTTTATGGCGACTATTCCACGTATGAGCTTATTAATTTAAATGTGTGTTTATTGGTTGAAACATTGTATAAAACTTCACACTTTTATTTGTATTTAACGTTAAGAGCGTAACGACGAGGCGCTCGCTTGCTAACTAACGTTTTGCTAACGTTAGCTAGGTCGGTTATCCGCAACAGCGAATACACGAAGCACAGTGGGAAAAAAAACACTGTAAGAAAGATGGGTCGCTCGGAAAGGTCCCAAACAGATCTACACCAGTCCGTCCAGTGGAAACAGGATTATTGACCGAGTGTAAGATCGCCCGACCCTCCCTTGGACAGCGAACAGCTTGAAGATGTACTCTCTTCGGCGACTCGACTGTAAATGCCGTTTGTTTACGGTGCTCCCGGACTTCGCCCGTCTCTGCAACTCAACGTATCACTCCGCACCGCACTGAATTCGAGAAAACATAAATTTTATACCGTCTTTCTTGTTCAGCGTATACGCATATTAAGATATAACATAATGTGCAACGTGTGTGGTCACAAAATGTGCAAAACGTTCGTTTTATATTGCATAAACCCGACAAACGGACTAGATTCCGTGATCGGTTATGATAATTTTGCATAAAACATGGGGGAGAGGTTCGTAAAACTCCTAATTTGTTGTTGAAACGTACAAATACTGCTTAAATATAAACATCGTCTTGTAATTCATTCAGTAAGTAATTAAACTCAACTCACTAATATCTAAAGTTGTTTTATGTTTTAGTAGATTAATACGTATACATTTTAATCTCACCCCTGTGGTTGTAATAGTATGGTCCACAAAATGCGCCGGACTGCTTTCTTGGGGTGGATTACGTACATTTGATAGACAGCTCAATTATCCAATAAAAAAATACTACAAGCTTAGCAACAGAAAAGTGGCGCTCCTGACCAATCAACAGGGAGAAGGTTGATCCTAAGCGTGTCCCATTTTCTAAAATGTGATTGGCTCAGGAGCCCGTCAATAATCATAGACTTGTGGTATTTGTAGTTCAAAGGGGGTGTAACATTTAGGTCTCGTTCAAAAAGGAAACACCATGTCCCACAATGCATCGGTTAAAGCAGGCCGTAACATGCGCGAGAGTAGAGGCGGAGCTGGTATATAAAGAGCAGCTCCCTCGTCTTCAGCAGCACTCTGGACACAGATGAGACGGTGAAGCGCGGTCTCTGAGTGAACGAAATCTTTTATAGCACCGAAATAGTTAATGATAGTTAGCGACAGTTGCTTTGACAAACCCTTTGTGGAGTAACAAGTGTTCACTTAATCGGAAGTTTACTTTTAATTAGAGAAAGTTAGTTTTCATAGTATTATTTTATCCTATTTTGGATGAAGTTTATTTTTGTTTCTAATTAAGTTTTTTGTTAACTTAAAAACGCTCACTTTTAAGAGCGCAAAGATGATTTAGAGAACTGCACAGAAGACCATCGGGATGTCAGAGGTATCGGAGCCAAGTCATCACCTGAAAACTCCAGGCAGCCCCTCAGGTGGGAGTAGCGGAGCCCCTGTTTTGGAGCATCCCCCGAGCTGCAAGCAGAAGAGCGCAAGCCCCGATAACGACGATAGGGGCCGCCAGAGAGACAAGCAGCAGCAGCAGCAGCAGCAGCGCCAGGACAGGGATATCAACACAGACAAGTTATGGCAATCTAAAGGCGCACAACAGAAGGGGGTGTGCCCTGACTTAGCTCCCGGAAACGAGCTCTCAAAGTGCCATCCTCACAAGAAACCTGACGGGAATCACCACCACACCTCCGAGCATGGCAATGGAGAGGGGGACCACCAGATGGACTCGGACCCGGGACTGGATTCTCGCCCGGGGTGGAAGAAGAGGCACAGGCGCCGCACCTCCAGAAAGAAGCGTCACTGGAAGCCGTATTTTAAACTTTCTTGGGAGGAGAAAAAAGCCCTGGACGAGCGGGAGACTGCCAGGGCGTCCCGGGTCAGAGAGGAGATGTTCGCCAAGGGACTCCCGGTAGCGCCCTACAATACCACCCAGTTCTTAATGGACGAACACGACCGCGAGGAGCCCGATCTGAACACAGAGAGCGGCGGGATACGGAGACAGTCGGGGGTCGGTGTGGGGCTGGAGGACACTGGCAGCGAGGAGGACTTTTTGGAAAATACCAATAATAACGAGGAGGAGGATGAGGAGGATGGCAGCGACGGCATCGGGAGGCCTGGCAACTCGGGCGGAGAGTTTCTTCAAAGGGACTTTTCAGAAACCTACGAGATGTATCATGTTGAAAGTCTCCAAAACATGACCAAGCAGGAGCTGGTGAAGGAGTACCTCGAGCTGGAGAAGTGCATGTCCCGCTTGGAGGAGGAGAACAACCGGCTGAGGAGAGCCATGGATCCCCCAGAGAGCAGCCTGTCCCGCCTCCGGGAGCTGGAGCGGGAGCTGGAGAGACTCAAGGCCCAGAACAGCGAGCTCCTCCTGCAGAACCAGCCCGCAGCCAACTGAGAGCACGTGAGACACACACCAACAACAACCATCGGACTACTGCTGTTTTAAAGGGGCTGTATGTAATGTTTTTTACTTTGAAATTATCTTAAACTGGACTGTTGTCTGAATGTGTTGAACTGATGAGTTATATCAACTGATTATTTAAATTTGCAGATGCGCATAAATTTTTACCACTAGATGGAGTTGTGAGTCACAGTGTCATAATATCTTGCAGCATTGAAAATTGAGTTAAATTTTGTTTTATGGCTGTTTTCTAACTGCTGCATTTTATAAATCAGGGTTAAATTTGATGTTTAGTTTTGACTGGGCTATTGTCAGTGACAGCCATTTTATAACTCCAGTGTTATGTTCAAATGTGCCACAGACCAAGTTTGTCTGAGACATTTATCAAGAGGAATTTTAAAGTAAAAATGACATAAAGCTCTTTTAAAATCACATTTTTCTGTGTAATCCGATTGTTATGAGGACTCTGAGGTTATGCATTGCAATGCAATATCAAATGTTTCTTTTCTATTTGGACTGCAGAGGTGTCCCGTTAAAATCCAGAAGCTATGTACATATTTGAAAAATTTAATTCTTTTTTATAAAGACGAGTATCTGAAAAAACAAGGCTATTTTGTTTCTGGTAAATATTGACAAAGACTTGATCTATTTGAGCCACATATGTGACATTTCCTCCTCCAAAATAAAAGCATTGCAAAGATGTTTTACAAAATGAACTCCACATTTGACATTTTAACAGTTGTGTGATCAACATTCAAATAAAATAAATTCTGTTGTACTGTGTGTGAAGTGTGTTTAAATGACAGGAAACAGGCTGTGGAGCTGAGGGTGAAAGTGCACTGCTCCTGTCAGCAGTTAAAGACATCCACAAAGCTTTTCTTGTGACGCTCCAGAAACAGTCCGAGTGGAGAACCAGCACAGAGCAGTGGCAGAGAGGGGACGGGGGAGGGGGAGATGGAGAGGCTTCACGTGAAGGTTAACCTGCGTTTACGCACAGCTCCGTAGTGTGGAAAAATATCATAAAAATGCAAATGAGTGACAGAGACAACGCGCATTAAAGGCCAAGGGGCTGCTGCTGATGGGTTTTTAATGTGAACAAGTTTGCAGGTTTTTGTATCGGGTTCTTATAAAGGTCTATATACTCAGTACTTTATCACAGAAAGGCCTTCATAATAAAACAATCATAAGGGACACATGCATTATTACTTTAGCTAAGAGGTATCTGAGAAAGACGGTGACATAAAATGGATTACAAGATTATAATGCTTCCTTTATAGGCCTATAAACCACACCTGGAATTCAAATTGTTTTGAGTGATGATCTTTCTACAGTTACTAAGCTACAGTAATTTACTCTGTGTTGGGAAATTTTTTAGTAGATTGCAAAATACACTATTGCTCTAGTTCATCATTCAAGGTTTATAAACATGGATTTATCACAAACATTTCTGACTTTTGTATAATGTTATAGTGTAGTAACAATAGAAGGCTTACCACTAGGCCTGTCATAATAATAACTATATTGACTTACTGACTTACTTGAAATACTTTTTGGGAGTCTATTTATTGTGGTATATTTTCTTTGTACTAGTGGAACATTTTTTGGTTATTTTTTTCTTCTAGTTTCTCTTTTTTTTCTTTACTTACTTTTTGGGCATAATTGTGCTTTACAGTTTGGTTTCAGTAATTTTGTTTATCTTTATCTTTTGCCAATCTTTTAACCCAGTGACTTTTGTACAACACTCAAACTCAGGAGAAATTTAAACAAAATGTATGCAATTTTATCTATACTTATTCTAATTTATTTCATCTGGGAATTTCCTGTGGGATCAATAAAGTATCTATCTCTCTATCTTAATTTAGGTTTCACTAGTCATCAAATTAAAGATACACTGTGCAGCTTTTCCAATTTGGTTCTGCCATCAGATTGTCTCCATGGAGATTACTGTTATTGCTTTGCCTGGGATGTTTCACAGTCTGGTACTAAGCAAATATATCTTCTATTTATTCAGTTACAAATGTTTTTATTTCTCAAAACTACAGTAAAAACAATCATTATTACTGTGCCCACTTCTCCACAGATCTGACCCATAACTTGGCCTTTTGATATGGTCTGATGTCTCCATGGAGATAGTTAAGCTGTAGAGAATTTGGGCAGAAAAACATTAATTATCTACATGGAATCAAGCATTTGAAGGGCATTCTACCAGAAAAATTACACAGTGCACCTTTAAGTAAACACAAACAGAGCAAAAAGAGAATTTATTTTCACCATATATATATATTTATTCTCTTTGTTATTATATTATATTGTGATATGTGAGCTACTGTGCGCAAGTAATTTCCCTTGTGGATGAATACAATTTGTCTAAATCTATAGGCTTACAGATGCTATACCCAACTTCCACCTCAAGAGGGCCCACCTGAGCTTCTATTTTAAGACAGTGCAAAATGTAATTTGAGTGCAGACGAGTACAGCCCCATAAACAAACTATGAAAGATGCGCAGGATCTTAAACATACTTCTGTTTATTTACATCATATAACATTACCTTAAAGCACACAGTCATAGAGCGAAATGGTCCGGTAATATTAGTCCAATGCAATTCAAACTGTACACAATACGCCATGTTACATATTAAGATAGTATGTACAAAAGTTAAAAATGTAGCACTTTTTAGACAACGTATTCACTCCGGAGGTGTTTTGTTGACAGTTTAAAGTTGTCATTAAATGCTGTTTGTAAAGTAAGGTTGGAATCGTGTACCATTTTGTTATAGGCAAGAAGAGGCGACCTGGTGGAGAGAGAAAGAGAGGAAAAAGCAGTGAAAGGTAAAAGCTGTTAATGAAGAGTGTGCATAGACATGTCCTTGGCTATATATGTGCTTTTTACAGCCTCTAATATACACTTAAATGTACAATGTCTTTGGACTATGCACTATTTAACAACAGAAACTGAGAATGAAATACAATAATAAGACTTTAAGATGGGTGAGTCTGTGTTAAAAAGTAACAGGGTCAAATGGTGAAACTTGAAATAACTTGTTACTATATTAACCTTTTTTCTAAGTGCTCAGAAGGTGCACAATGTAACTTTTTGGTTGGGAGATAATCCGTCACCTGTGTCATTCAACTCTCTGGAATGTTCCACAGTATGACTTTAAACAGCTCTACTTTACATTTATTCAATTACAGGTAGTTTTATAGCTCAAAAATACCTAGAAAAACAGGTATCCTGACTGTGACCGTAACTTGGTCTGGTCTGGTCTCCATGAAGATAGAAAGGTTTAAAGCCATAGTGTGAAACATTCCAGACAAAAAAAATAAGTTGCACAACACACCTTTAAGATAAAATGGTTGTACGTTTTGCTTTATTTAAATGGCCAGTTTCTTTTTCAGTTTTAAAATTCCAAAGATGAATGAATGCTTTTGGGAGGGCATCTGATGTAAACCACACAAGCAAGGTGGCACAAATTTAGTTACTTTTATAGACCCAAGAATGAAAATAATGTTTACAGATAATATACTATTTAAAAAAAAAATAACTTATCGTTGGACCCCATTTAAAGGTGCATTGTGTAACTTTTCTGGTGGAGGGTCCATCAAATGCTTTTCACCATTGCTTTGTCTGGAATATTTCACAGTTTTAATCTTCACGAAGCTCAAACCAGACCAAGTTACAGGTCAGATCTATGGAGAGGCAACCCCGCTCCCAGTCAAAATGCCTGTTTTTCTAAGTATTTTTGAGCTATAAAACCACATGTAATTAATAAATGTAAGGTAGAGCTGTTTAATGTCATGCTGTGGAAAATTTCAGGCAATCACATATCCACCAGGACCCCTCCACCAGAAAAGTTACAGAATGCGCCTTTAAACACAGAAACACCCCAATGAGAACTGACCATGGCACTGAGGGCAAAACATTCAGAAATCAGGCACTTTAGAGAAAAATCTTGAGGTAAGACATAACTTATCCATTTTACTGTAACAGAATCACAGAAGAAGTCATGCAAGGAAAACAAATTTCTCTTGACTTTCGAACCTTTGCCCCTCCTGTCAGTGTTTTTGTGGTGTTAATTTGGTTCCACAGTCAAAGTGAGAGATGTAAAAAAAAATAATCTGAGACATCTTGCTGTTCTATTTGTTGCTTTAACTGCAGCTAGTGTACCATATAGTCCCAAGTTGGCAAGGATTTATTAAGATCCTGACCCTATGGAAAATATTTAATAGTAAAGCCTCTTGGTGATAAGAGTGTTGACAGATTCAGGCCCACAGAGGGAGAGGTGTAGAAAACAAGTTGTTTGCGACAGATGGGAGGAGCTATAGACTTGTATGCCCTAGACTATTATAGTGTTGGGAAATTGCTCTAATTTGGTTGATCAATGTTTTGGCAGTGAAGACACATACAATACTGTGCAAAGTCTTAAGTCTGGTCCTATCTTATGCAAAATCTACTCTTGTGAGGTTTTATACATGTTCTTATGTTGTTACCTTCTCAAAAACATACCTGGAGTTGAGTTTTGTTGTTGTTGTTTTGTTTGAGTAATCCTGCACTTATTAGTCTATCTATTTCCAAAGTTCAAAATGCTCTGTTCCACCTTGTGATGTCATGTAGTGGTAGTTTTTGAGTTCAAGCAGCTACCTTTTAGCTTTAGTTCAGAAGAGACTGGTAATTTCAGAGCTGAAATTATCCAAACTATACAATATTTCAATAGAAGTGCTTTAATACATATTTGTTGTGGTTTATGTAATTTTGTAATAAGGCCTGAAAAGCTTAAATTAGTGAAGGAACAATATGATTTTGTTGTTGTATGTATCACAAATCTTACACAGATTTAAGTCAATATTCATTTGATTTTAATTTGATCTCATCAAAAAAACAAAATTGCTTGCCTGTAAAAAGCGTTATCTTTATTTAGATTAAAGTTTCTTAACCATTGCGATATTCTTGGCAGAGGCTCACCAAGTGATTTTAGATGTTAATCATTTGTAGCCATTTTATTCAGTTCTAGCGTTTTGTTATAGATGATATTTTGAGGACTTTTCCCCATTTAAGCAATATAATATTGTGTTTTAAATTGCCAATTAGTATGGCAGCAGTCCTCATTATTATTCATTCATTTCATCATTCTAAAGCCCTTAGAAACCTGCCTAATATTCTGCACAGTACTGCACATTTCTCCAGTGCATTGTAAAGATGTAAATGTCTGTAGATTTTTTTTAAAGTGACCCCACAAATGACGAGGGGTGAAGCTGCCTTAGAATGGGACTCCTCATTTGCCTGATTTGCTACATGTAAAGACTACTCACCAAACTGTGCACGTTAAAATGATCGGCACAGTGTTCAAAACGAAAGGCCATCTATAGGAATAAGGTTGGTTGTGTTTCCTTGCAGGTTATCACAATATTTTTTTTACTTTAATACAAAATATATAATATTTATATAGATTGAATATAAAATCAACATAATAATAATAATAAATAATAATATATTAAAGGAAACATTTCAAGTAACACCTTGAAAGAAATGACTGTGCACGTGTACGCACTTTTGTAAACCATAGAAAACAAACTAAAAAAAGTAAAAACAAAAAATTACATATTATTTCTATTTACAAGGTTAACTTAACAAGGCTTTGTACAAATGTTACAAAATGTGACACACATATTTTATAGCACATACACATTATTAACACACAGTAAGTTGTAATGTAGTAATGTAGTAACAGTGGTCCGTTAGGTGTAATACAGGAAGATCAATAGGAAAAGTTCAGTTCTGGCCCCAAAAGCTGAATTCCCTATTGAAATGCATTAAAATCCACTGGTTTTGTAGCTTGTCATAGTCTCTTTTGGCTCTTTCGGATTCTCTATCTTTGAACTGCGTTGTATAGAAGCACCATAGATAGACCCAAGCAACAGCAAACAGGCCAGTTCTTGCCTCTTGTCTTGTCACTTGATAAGAATAAATGATACAAAAATGAACATGCGCTGATCCAAACTCACAAATGAAGTCTTCTTGGCTGTTAAAAAGTCATTGTAACAAAGTCCGTATTAAAAAGCGCACGCATTGGGAAATAAAGCTTTGGCAACACTGAAACGCCCCATGGACAATGCAAACAGGGTTTCAAACAAAACAAAAACAAAGAAATTGAACTGTGCTAAGATGAGTTACAAATGAGTTGACACTGACCACAATCTGCTGGTGTTATGCCAAGTTCTGCCCCCCTGTTCAATCAAGTAGGGCAAACATATAAACTTCATGCTTATGTTAATATGTAGCTACATATTATAAAATGTGCTATGTTAGTGTTTCTCAATCTGTAGTACTGGTGGATGGAGTATACGGGCTGCTTGTGTTGGTACAGTTCTACAGGGTTTGTTTCATTTAGTTTTGATTTAAATCATGTTTGGATTTTTGTCACCTTTGAGTAATTTCTGTCTTAGAATCAGGGGCGTCAACAGAGGGGGATAAAGGGGTCTATGGTCCCGGGCCCCAGGATCTTAAAGGCCTAGAATTGGACCTTCTTCCTAATAATTTATATTAGAGGGGGGCCCATTTTAGACTTCTTGTCCTGGACCCGCCAAAATTCATTTGATTTTTTCATGCTGTAGCTGTAATTTACACCTAATTTAGACTTTTATATTAATTTATTTAGCACTTATGTTAAAAAGTTCATTAAACAGGTTTGACAGCCAAATGATAAAAATGTTTTTGTATTGTATAATGAACAATAGTTTTCTTGTGCTTGGGAGTGGTTGGAGCCAAAAAGGCTTTTGAACACACCGCTCCCAGAAAGTAAAAACAGTTATCAGTTAATCAAAGATAAAGAAATTTACAACATTTAAACTTTAGACTGGAGTTAAAATAGTTCCTTGTGTTGGTAATTGGTGATAAAAGTTTGATAATCACTGTACTATTTCTAAAGGAAGAAAAGCCATAAACTTTAAATGTGTCTTAAGAACTGCTTGTTTTAATAATACAAAATCTTTCAAATTGCTAAATATTTGTTTCATCCGTAGTTTAGCCTGGGATTAGTGTTGTTAAAATTCAGCCTTGTAAGACAAAGATGGTAATTTGAAATCCAGATATTTACTGAATAGAGGATTTTTGGACAAAACTGAAACACTGTTATATTTTTTAAAAACCCTCACCAGCCTTTTCTGCATTTTAGTTGAGCAGGGATTTATCTGTAGCTAAATAGTGACATATTCTACTTTGATTTTGTGTTTTTTATATACTTTGTCGTATGCTCTCTTCAAGACCCAATAGCTTTTAATGTTTAACTCTTCTCAATATGATTCACTGTTTTTATATTTCCTGTGTTATGTGTCTATAGTTCTTTTGGCTGTTTTAATATGTGTTCTATAAAGAGTCTTACAGAGTGTCTTACATAAATAAAATCTATTACTATTATTATTATTATATTATTATTATCATGTCAAGTTTCAACAGGAGGGCAGATTTTGTCATAACAGCAACCTACAGACCTGCAAGACCAGCTTTAAAGTCACAGAGCAGGACCTTCCCAAACCCCTCTCACAGATACTGGTGAAACCTTGAGGGCGGAGTCTGCCTCGCCCCCTGCCCTCCTGCGTCTGTATCCTGCGTCAGCCTCTGTGTTTTGACCTGGTTTGAACTTGTAGGAGAAAGGGGAAAATCATTCACCATTAGCGGGGGTCTTCGGTCTGGATTTTCAGTTGGAGATGCCACTACAGTATGTCTTCTCCACGCCCTCCTCTTGCGACGCGTTTCCGGAGACAACGGTTTCCTCATCCCCACGCTGCGGAGATCATCGGCGGATCCCATCAGGCGAGCGCGTACTTGTTCGGCTAAAGATCTTCCTCCGTTTGGACCTTTCGGAGTGAACGAAGTGGCTTCCACGGGGGCTACGGCTGGTTTAGACCTTGCTAACCGTAAACTTTCCTGGCTACTTGCTGAAGATGGATTAGTTCTTGATGCATCTCGTCTCCCTCTACCTTCTGAGCTGTCACTTCCTGGTAACTCTATTAAATCTAAGGACTTGGCTTTGACTTTCTCTGATTTTAGCTTCTTGCGAGCCAAAGTATCACATTGTATGAGTTTATGGGAGTTAAAAGAAGGCCTGGAATGCAGTTTGTGCGCTGTAGAAGAAGAAGAAAATGATGAAGAAGACGGTGTAGTTGACCGCGCTCCTCCTTCGCTCCTCTCTCCCAAATCAGGCGTAGTTGGGGCAAGAAGATTCGTAGATGCCACAGCAGGCTGCTTGTATTGCGTATATAGAAAGCTACGTGGTGCGGTAGGTGTTTGAGGATTAGTTTGGTCGTTTTGCTTTTTCTCCGGTCTTTCTTGGGTAAGTGAACGCGACGCAAACCCGCTTTCATTGTCCGTTTCGCTGACCAGTTCGCTGTGCTCATCGTCTGCATCTTCGCCCCGCCCCTCCGAGCCTAAACTCCGCCCCAGAGTCGACAGAGTGGAGTACCCCGAAACAATAGAGCGTGCGTCGTCTATAGCTCGCCAATGAGTCTCTTTAACTTGCGTGTCTGCCTCCTCGTGCCTCTCTCCTCCCTCTACTTCCTCCTTCACAAGCCCCGCCTCCTTGTCTTCGGATTTCCCAACCGCTTCCTCTTCCTCCCCGACATCATCGTCATCCTCATCGATTTCCTCTTCGGCACAAGGAGCTACGTCAGTTGTTGGCGATTCTCCGTCGTCTTCTCCTTCCTCCTCCTCTTCCTCTGTCCCCACATGTCCCGCTCTGATTGGCTCGTGTTCGGAGTCGTCGTCGGTGCTGCTGCCCACTCGCCGCCCGTTGTGGCGTTTGCGGCGTTTGCGGCCCGTGACGGCGGACATGATGGACAGGGTCAGGCTGGTGGTGAGGTCCTTCTTTGACCCCCATGACCCCTGGAGAAACGAAAACACAACACCAAGTCAAACCAAACTCAAAGACTCCTGTGTATCCCTGGGTTTCACTACAATAAATGTTGTCATAGCGATTAACAATTTTAAACAAAACATAATGGTTGAATGGAAAAAAAAAAAGTCCTCAGAATATTGCATTATAACAGGAAGCTGAAACCAGGATTGCTCTGGCTTTACTCTGTCTACTCTAACTACACTGTCCCCTTTTAACTAATTGCTGTATGCTTTTGAGTGTTTTTTCAGTCTATTTTAATTATTTTCTTTGTAAATATTGATTTGATTTCTGTAACACAACCTTGAGTACCTAGAAAGGTGCCTAATTCATAAAATATGTTACTACAATTATTAAGTCAGTATACTGTACATTGCCAGGTTTCAGATAAGGGCTGGAAGATTAATTGCAATAAAATCATTGCACTATGCTGCAGTTATTTATCTAATATAATTTTCTGAGCAGAAACCTAATTAAAAAAGAACTGTTATGTCTGAAACCTGCTGCTAACCCTGTGGTAAGACATCAACAAATGAAATTGAATGTAGATGCTATTCATGGATTAGTTTAGTTTGTGTAATGTGAAAAAATACAGGTCTCAAATTTAATTGCAACTGATTTTAAATACTATGTTTTTTAAGGAAACAAATGCAATAATATTTTCTAAAATTGCTCACTGCAATTTACATTTTAAAGGCCTGTAACATTTAATTTGGATGGGGACAATGGAAATATGTGTCATTAAAGGTCCTAAATTACACTGGATTAAGCAATGTTATTATGCCGTTACCTCCTCAAAAACAGACCTGGAGTTGTGTTTTGTTTCACTCACATGTGCTTGAGTAATCCCATTATTAGTCTGTCCTCACCTCCAAAACTCAAAATGCTCTGTTCCACCTTGTGATGTCATGAAGTATTAGTTTTCAAGTCAAACCTTTTAACTTTTGTTCAGTAGAGATGAAAGGGCTGAAATGATCCAAATCATTCTAGTGAAGTTGTGTAGTATAAAAACACAGTGTAGTACTTCCTGGCACTTCCCACATCACAAGGAGAAACAGTGTTTTCTGTTTGGGAGAAGAACTCAGCCTAAATATGCAGCATTTGTGTGTTAAACATGTGTGAATGAAACAAAACTTTAGGTATGTTTGTGATGAGGAAACAACCTAGATCAAAAAAACTGTGTAAAATGGACCCTTTAAAATGTCTTTTGGCGTGGATAGATAATTGTGTATCATTGGACAGTTCATGTAGTAGGAGTCTTCACCTTTGATTTCGCTGAGTCACTGTTGGTTGAGTCTACAGGGAAAAGGTAAAAAAAACAAAAAAAAACATTAGATGAGTGCCACAGACGTCAGACATAATCAGCCTGTAGGGGGCAGTAGTGGCAGAGGACACAGGGGTAGAGTCAGTTTGATCATCAGTTTCTGAAGGACAAATTCAGCTGAAAAACTGCAGCACTGCTCTCTATGGATGCTCTGCTTTTGCTCACAAGTTAATCAGGGGTTTTATACAGTTACTGCAGAGGGGGAAACCCAAACAATAGCAGCTGTTAGACAGATGACTATTTGCATTATAATGAGCTATACAGTACATGCTTTCAATCCATAGTAAAAAAAAAAACACTCTTTATTTAGAAAATGTAATTTTAAAGGTGCACAGTATAACATTTACAGTGGATGGTCCGCCACCTGCTTGTCTCCATGGAAATGATATTGCTTTGTCTAGAATGTTCCACAGTACAGACTAAACCTGTCTATCATGAGGGAGACAAGCTGGTTACAGACTACGGTGCATTACAAATCAGATCTGTGGAGAGTCGCCTCCATTCACAGAAGGAATTGTTGTTTTTTTGAGCAATAGAAACAAATAAATACTAGCTGGATATTTATTATTCCAGGCAAAGCAATAATATCTCCATGGAGACAAGCAGGTAGCGGACCCATGTGACCTTTATATCTGTGTAATCTGTCAGTCATCCAGGTAGGATCCATATTACGCTAGTATTTGTTCTGACAACCTAAATCCATAGAGTACAATGCAGTTTGCTCGGTATTAAAAGCAGTTTTTATACACTGTTTACGGTAAAATGTTTAGTTTTCAATTTTTCTCTGTGTCCTTCAACCACGAGTGACCCCACATTAAAAACTATCAAAAGCAACTCAATATCTGGGTATAGGAAAATGTATTATGAAAACCACAACACATCACCAAAAACACTGATATCAATACAGATCAGTGAAAAGCACTACAGGAGACATAAGACAGAGGAAGAAAAGAAGGTTTGAAAACATTTGAAAAGAGAAACACAAATCAATACAGTGCAGAGCAAAAAGCCTGTCTGAAGCATTGTGTATGGCGGGATATGTAAATGTGCATTAATGGTCCTATATTACGCCAGATGGATTTTTGTGAGCTTTAAGCCATGTTATAATGCTGTTACCTCCACAAAAACATACCTGGAGTTGTGTTTTGTTTCATTCGCACATGTTTGAGTAACCCTTTAGTCTGTCTGCATCTCCAAAGCTCAAAATGCCCTGGTCCACCTTGTGATGTCAAGAAGTGGTAGTTTTCATGTTAACAGCCATCTTTTAACTCTAGTTCAGTACAGATTGGAAATTCCAGGGCTGAAATTATCCAAATGATTCTAGAGAGGGTGTATCAAGTTTAAAAACACAGTGGAGCACTTCCTGTATTACCACAAGTCATCACGAAGAGGAACAGACCTCATTCTGTTTGAGAGAAGTGTAAATATGCAGGATTGTTGTGTTAAACATGTGTGAATGAAACAAAACACAACTCCAGGTCTATTTGTGATAAGGAAACAACAATATAACATAGATCAGAAAATAGCGTAATATGGGTCCTTTAAAATTGTACGGCGCAAAGCGTGTGGGGGGTTTCTAAAGTTGTTTCTGATGAACAAAAGCTAAAACTTTGCTGGTTGTGGTTTAAATATTCACCTTTTTAACTGGAGCCTTCTTTGGCTTGAACTTTGACAAGTATGGTCTTGTAGTATCTCCAAAATGTATAAATTAGCGCTGCAACAACTTGAAAAATCCTTGCATATATATATATATATATATATATATATATATATATATATATATATATTCAACTACTTCTAATACTGCTACTACAGTGGTGTTTCCTGAAAGAAAAGTAGTAGCAGGAAATGATATTTGTAGTAGGGCTAGTGAGAGTCTCATTTAATTTCACATATTACTGTACCCACAATATATATAATGTGGTTAGCCCTATTTCAGATCAGGCTGTAGGACATGTTTTCTTTAAATGTCATCAGTATGCATGACATTTTAATTAAAGAAACCACTTCCTGTTATTGTTCCATAATCAGTGGTATCTAGTTAGCATCCAAGTTTCTGTTTGGCTGGTGTTTCACAATGGTCTATTTATAGTTTAGGGTTAGAATGTTAAGCTAACTTGTAATTAACTTGTAATGTGGCATAACTGTGGCTTAGCTGTTTCAATGACGATTTCACTTCTTCTTGCTCCCTTTTATTTATTTACTTACAACAGCTTGTATTTTAAAGGGCCTGTATTATGTAATTTTCTGATCTATGTTATAATGTTGTTTCCTCATCACAAACAGACCCGGGGTTGTGTTCTGTTTCATTCAGACATGTTTAATTAACACACAAACCCTGCATATATACACTGAATTCTTCTCTCAAACAGAAAACACTACGTTCCAACTTGTGATGTCAAGTGGTAATACAAGATGTGCTCCACTATGTTTTTAAACTTCATATACCTTCAGTTGAATCATTAGGATAATTTCAGTCATGGAATTTCCAATCACTACTGAACAAAAGGTGAAAAGGTAGCTGTAGCTTGAAAACTTCTGTTTCATGACATCAAAAGAGTTTTTTGAGCTTTGGAGATGTAGACAAACTAATGAAGAGTAACTCAAATATGTGTGAATGAAACAAAACCCAAATCCAGGTATGTTTTTGAGGAGGTAACAACATTATAACACAGCTTAAAGCTCACAGGAGTCAGTTTTTGGGTAATATATGTGAATAAATAAAATTAATTAAAAGAACTCTGACTGGAGATACAGTGTTTTTTGTACTAGACTGGACCCTAATTTTTCCATATTTCTTTATTGTCAGACTTAGTTACTGTTGCTAAATACACAATAAATGAATTGCCATTGCCCATCAGAAACAGCCCAATGTTGATCCTATTGAAAGTTTTTGTTGAATGAGATTGGCGACCCCATGTGATATGACCCTTGATATAAACACCAGTGAATAATCTCTCAGTGACAGACAGTGAGCAGTGATTTAAAGCTGCACTATGTCACTTTTCTGATGGAGATTCTGTCAACTGCTTGTCTTCATGAAGAAGTTATTGCTTTGTTCCACATTATGGCATTACACGTATCCATCTCCTCTCTGTTTTTCTAGCACTAAAAACATCTGCAATTGAAGAAATGCAAGATAAAGATATGTTTAATGCTACAGTGTGGAACATTCTGGGGAAAACAATAGCATCTCCATGGAGAAACGCAGGTGCAAGTTACACAGTGCCCTTTAAAATAAGTTTGTATTAGGACCAACACAAGATTATAGATTTACATGTTACACAGTACGGGGACCTGTCTGACACCGAGAGGGACACACCATCACCAAAATGGACTTCCTGATTCACCTGTGTTGCCAAGGTTACCGGGAACATCTTTTGTTCTTGTCCCAGCAGGTTCAATCTGTCTATTTATTATGATGTCTGTTAAGTATGTAGCTTATCTGACATTACTGTTATTTAGAGACATACACTTTTGTTACATTAGAGTGAGGTTTAAAAAAATATGTCTTAAAGGTGCATTGTGTAACTTTTCTGGTGGAGGGTCAGGCAAAAATGAGTTGTTGTTGCTTTGTATGGAATGTTTCACAGTATGACATTAAACCTGACTATCATCATGTAGAATAAACCAGGTCAGAATGCCTGTTTGTCTAGGTATTTCTGAGCAATTAAACCACCTGTAATTGAATAAATGTGAGGTGGAGCTGGTTAATGTCATACTGTGGAACATTTGAAGAAGAACAAGGGTATTCCCATAGAAACAAGAAGGTGACGGACCTCCTACCGAAAAGTTACACAGTGCACCTTTAAACTGTGTAACCTGTTTTAATATCCTTGTCTACAAAAAATAAAAACAACAACAATAATAAAAAAAAATATAAAAGATTACTCACAAATATAACTAAAAATGGCTTCTTGGTTTAAAAGATAGCTGTTATTATCAACTTGAAATAATGAAGATATGTGTTTTATTGTCCATAAAATGCAGACATGTTATTGATATCATAATAAAGTGACTGTATCTTTTACGTTAATCAAATATAAAGATGTTAATGTAAGGTTGGCCACACAGATAAACCGATCCACCACAAGTATAAAAACAAGCTTCTGTCACTCCTCCAAACAGTTTGACACAGGATGCACTGAGAGGGGCTTTGCACACAGACAGACACAGACAGACACAGGCCAGGGGAGTCCCCATCCTACCGCTGCGGCTGCTCCACTGGCTCAGCTGAAGAGAAGGAACGCAAGAAACGCACAGAAAAAGTGAAAAAAGTGAAAGATGAGCAACGTCCAGCAGGAAAGAGAAGTCAGCAGAGAGAGAGAGAGAGAGAAAGAGAGAAAGAGAGAGAGAGAACAGTGTAAACAGGTATACGGCAGGGTTTGACATAAACTGTTTGCTCACTGGCCACTGTGGCTCTTCAAAGGTGATGTAACTGTCTGTAATTATGATGGGGGTATGATTATAATGGCGATGTGTGTTAGGCAATACTCTGAAACAAAATATACATGTCTGGCTCAGGATAGAGTGATTAAATCTCTCTTATTTTGACTTTGTGGAGACTAGAGGCTTATAGTGTAAAAATAAATCCACATATTTCCTTTTAAAATGCCCTAACAAGCATTTGGTGTCAATATTAATGTAATACACCATTAAAATATCCGGATTTTTTTTATAATGTTCTTGAGAGATTATAAAAAAATCTCTAATTTCTGCATGTTGGCTGCAATGACATGGAGCAAAGGATCATGGTTTACATAGTTCCCCCTGCTTTTTTAGCTATAACCTAACAAAGAAATGCTTATATTCGATTTATAACAGACCATTATATCAGTGAATTTTGACAAAACATATATCAATATTTTGTTTTTGTTACATCCCTACTTCTCAGGACAGGATAAAATCTAACTGAAAATATGACTTTCATCATAGTAGAGAAGAGTGGGAGGACTGTTTAAAATACATAAATGAATAAACAGCACTTGGCTTGTTGGCTCTGTTTATGTCAAGCTCTGGTGAAGTCTATCAAACTCAAAACACTACAAGTACAGATACGCTACTGCTGGTAGACTTATTCGTGTGTCATGCTGCGTTCTAGTTCAGACGGAAAGTAGGGAATTCTGGCCTCAAACTGGGACACTGCCCAAATTAAAGTCAAAGTGTCATCTCCAACTTCAAGGTGAAACACAACTTCTCTGGTAAACCTAAACAGCTCTTTAACTAAAGTTAAATGAATTTAAAAAATACCCATTACAGTTTATTTACTTAAAATGTATTAATGTAATTTTTTTTTTTTTTTGGTTTCTGGTTCTAGATAATGATTAGTACAGGGATAGACAGTGAAAAATAATTGCTGACGTATTAGCAATTATTGAAAAAAAATTACCCTTAAATGACTATTAAAGGCCCCATATTATGCTATTTATAATGTAGTTTCCTTATGAAAAACATCCTTAGAGTTGTGTTTTGTTATTTGGATAATTTCAGCTCTGGAATTGCCAATCTCTACACAACTGAAGTAAAGGTAAACGAAACTATTAACATGAAAACTACCATTTAATGACATCACAAGGTTGAACAGAGCATTTTGAATTTTGGAGAAGTAGACACTATTAATGCAGGATTACTCAAACATGTGTGAATCAAACAAAACACAACTCCTGGGATGTTTTTGATGGTTAAAAGCTCACAAGAGTAAATTTTGTGTAATATATGACCTTTAACATTTTAAACTGAGGTTATTTACTGCATGTAGACATTTATATTGTGTATACTTTAATAGTTATTAATACTTTTATTCGCTTTTTATCAGTTCTATCCATTGATCAATGCAAAAAACGTATGGGAATTTCCTATTTTCCTCTTCCCACTGAACGCAGCTTTAACTTTTGCGGTGCCAATATCACTGATGTGACTGGACAGTGTATTATTGGTCAAAAGCAATAAGCTGGTGCCCACCTGAGGCCTCCCCGAGCAGCCCTGTGCGGCCGATATTGGAAAGCAGGTGGTCGATATTTGGAGCGGGCTGCACGTCCTCTGTGTCCACTGGGGTCTGGAAATAAGGAGAAAATAGAAAAACTATTTATTTAACAAGAAGACAATGGATGCTATTTGTACTCAGATGTTACACTGGTGGTTTTTAGATTCTAGGATGTGTTGATGTCATATTATCAGATTGGGGACAAGATTTTCCTATTACTACTTTGCAGTGACATCATGTTGGGGGTGTTCTGCATGTATCTCTATTAATGGAAAGTTCAGCAGTTATCATGGAGACACAGTGTACACATTAGCAAACACAGACAATAATGTTTATAGTCTTAGATAGTCTGAAAACTCAAGAAAAAATGCAAAATGGATTTAAATAACACATTTTCAGGAGCCAGTTAAGAGTATGAGCTTTCATGGTCCTGTTTAGGAGTTAGATTTTTTTCTAATGTTTTGTTAGACTTTAATCTGATCTTTTTTTTTTTTTTACTCAAACTGACCAGAACGATGTGATTAAGTTGGAACTACAACAGGTTAGCTGATTTGTGCACTTAAGCAAGTCTCTCTTTTTGAAAACTAAACATATAAACAAGAAAAAAACTAAACATATAAACAAGACCATGAATGCTTGCATTCTTTACAGGCTCCAGAAAATGTGTTGTTTAAACACATTTTGTATTTTTTCTTAGGTTTTCAGAACAGATCTTAAAAGTTTTTGACAGTGTTTGCTAGTGTGCGTGCTGTGTCTCTATGGTAACTGCTGAACTTGCAAAAACAGACAATTGTCAGTCAAAGAGAGTATTATATTCTGCTGTTTTCAAGGGGTACATTTTAGTTCAGTACAAATACTGAGTCATTTCTTCTTGAACAAAACCACTCAACATTAGTTTTGCAAATATTTCCAGGAAAATTACATAATACATTTATTTTCAAATAGAACTGTATTAAAAACAAGAAAATTGAGAACTTCAGAGAATGTTAAAATGGCGTTAGCAGATTTTGCGAATTGACTTTTCGCACCAACAATACAGATATAATATGGTGTTTTCAAGATTTCCTTACCCTGTTATTGGCAACATTTTGAGGACATTTCATAATTCAATATAATATTTTGCATTATTATATTTGGATCAATATAAAATAATAAAATGTAAACATGTGACATGATATTTAGGTCAAAGTTTGGATTTTATTTATATATATATTTATGTTTGATTTTATTCATTTTTGTTCATATAGCAAAAGTAACTATGACATTTTGGATAATTCAAACATAAATTATTCTAAAACCATTTAAAAAAAAAGTACATAGACACTTTGAAACATACCTTTTCATCCTTGTCATTCTCTTCATCGAAAAACCATAAGCACTGCAAAATCACACACAGGTTAAGAAAAAAATATAATGTTTTATTTTGAAGGATTAAACTTGTTTGTATGTCTCACATGTTGTATGAGGGTCTCAACAATCTTGTAGCGGTCTGGCATGTGCGTCACCATGTCTTTCATATTATCTTCAGAGGTTCGGACTAAAGTGGGACCAAAGACCAGAGCCAGGTTTCGAGGCTCCATCTAAAAGCAAATAGGAAAATAATTCAATATACTAGAATACTTTAACATGAAAGACTAACTCTGCCCTGGGATGCACAATGAGATTAAAAATACAAATTACATTTCCAAGTTTTTGCATGACACTGCAGGAAACCACATATGAATCAACGCTAAAACAAGATACTCATTTGAACAAGTATCAATACTGAACTAAAATATAACTTTTTTTCACGATTTTCTGTCCTAAAAGATAAAAATGCCTATATTATGCAAAGTTGACTCTTTTGAGCGTTAAGTCATGTTATAATGCTGTTAACTCATCTAAAACATACCCAGAGTTGTGTTTTGTTTGAGACATCAAAAACAACTAGACAATCATTTAATGAATATGCCAGCCAATTTTCCTTGTTTATAATAATGATATGGTCTTATATTTTTAGTTTTGATAATTTTAGCAGAAAGTTGTATCTATAATAAACATTTCCATTTACCTTTATTTGTTATTTTTTCTATGTGTTTGTTGTTTTATAATGAAATTGTGCACATGCATTGATGTTACTGTATTTATTGTGGGTTTAAAAAAAAAAGCTACATACATAAAACTCATTATCGCTGTTACATCGTATGAAAAACAAGCCTTAACAAACCTTATTCTTATCTGAATGGTCTGCTACTGTCTTCAAGTGCGTAACCAGGAACTTCAATGTGTGGTAATAGTGATCAGGGAGGTCTCGTATCTGAAAAACAGGAAATAAAACCAGTTAAAACTTGCTCAAAAATAACACTCTTTAATACGTAAAGCTGCACTATGTAACTTTTTCCTTGGGGGTCCGTCACCTGCTTGTATGGATATGTCATTGCACTGCCTGAAATGTTCCACAGTATGGCATTAAACAGCTCTACAGTACATTTATTCAGTTACAGGTGGTTTTATAGCAAAAAAAAATCCCTAGAAAAACAGGCATTCTGACTGTAAGTGGGGTTGCCTCTCCATAGATCTGACCTGTCTGGTTTGGTCTCCATGAAGATAGAAAGGTTTATACCATAATGTGAAACATTCCAGACAAAGCAATAACATCTCCATGGAGAAAAGCATTTGATGGATCCTCCACCGGAAAAGTTACACAATGGACATTAAAGTTACACCTTTAATGTCCATTGATTAGTTATAGAATTGTATTTAAATAGCTATAACACGCACTAGTTTCTTCATAGTTTTGAGTCGGTCTGATGCACTGTCCATCCGATTGGCATCTATGAAATCGTTGTAATGATCTGCAAAGATAAAGACAAAAATATTCAAAACCAAATTCCTGGAAGCGTGGTAAAAAACTTGTTGAAACCTGTTTGGTGCTAACCGTTGGTGAAGAGAGGCTCTGGGAGTTTTCTAAAGAAGGACTTGAGTAAACTGCTGACGACATTGAGGTCCTGCCATTTCTGAAAAGGTCAAAACAAAACACAGCGGTGAAAACAGGTTCATAGACACTATGAATAGAGATAGGAGTAGACTGTGGAAACAATAGAGGAACATAAACCAAAATACATAAAGACATAACTGAAGATTACGGAATGACCAATGAATTGGCTGTTTCTTTCAAAGATAAGAGCTATGAAAGGCTTATGAAACAGAAATTTAACCGCCCTCTATGATATTTGCCTATAGCAGTGATAATACTAGTAGAGTAATCTTTTTGCTCAGCATCTCAAAATCACAAGACCTATTGTGCTTGAACCTGCTATTTATCTACAATTTATGACACCCATGGATCACTATGTTATAATTTGTACATCTTAAATCACAATATTTAGCTAAAACAACTTAATAAAAGAAAAAAAGTCACTGACTTCCATGTTAGAAAAATGTGGTGCCCAGTGGGACCTGATGTAAATGTCATCACAACAAAGAGTTGGCATCTCTACCGCATGGTTGCAGATCACACCAGTGAGCAGCAGATTATTTTGTACCAAAATGACTGATTGGCAATATGGTGTGATTGAGGGCTGTCACAAAAAGTGAATGGCCCAACTGCAGGGCAGAAATATCACTTTATAACCCTGTTTGGGAGATAGGCAATATACTTAATATTATAATTTTGCATATCTCCTGGAGATAGAGTTATTTTGCAGATAATCTCTAAAATAACTATTGTGATATTATACCATTTTCAATAAATCTCCCACCTCTAGAGTTTGCACTTGAAGTTTATTTGCACTTCTTTCTGTCTAAAGCTCTTACCTCCTCTGTGGGGTTGATGTCCACTCCTTTGTTGAGCTGGTCCTGGAGCAGAGACACCATTGCATTGTTCCCGGGGACTCTGTAAATCCCAGTGTACTCCAGCCCCATCTCCTCCACCAGACCACAGCAGATCTCCACTATCATCGGGATGAACTGGGACAAAAGATTTGAACCCATTTTAGTCTTGATGTGGACTTCGGTTGGTCCTGTTCTAGTCCTCGTTTAGTCCTGTGTTAGTCAAGAATGACTTTCACATGGGTTTCAGCATAGTCTCTTCTTAATATTAAAGAATAAAAAATATAATGATGTAATACTAAACCAAGACTAAACCAGGATCTAAAATAGGACAAAGTCATGAATAAGCCACGTCTAAGGTTAGCATGTAGACTAAAATAAGAATAAAGTAGATCTAAACCATGTCTATTCCAGAACTAAACCAGGTCCAAAACTAGGACTAAGTCAGAACCAAACCAGGTCTAAACTAGAATTAAACCAGCCCCAGAATATACGACTATATCAGGTCTCAGCTAAAGAGATCCAACTTGGGACAGAATCTAAATAAAAACATCTTTGAACTTGCACTTAAACTCTAAAAATACCACATACCATTAATAGTACCTGTACTGCATTCAGAAGTATTGCTATAGTATGGATCCTTACCTTGTTGTTGGCACCGGGCTGACAGTCCTCTAACCTCACTCCAAAAGCTTTAGGCCCAGCCTTCTTTGATTTTTTGATGATGTTGATTCCCCAAGGAGATTTGGGCGGGCTGCTCTCCTCTGTCGACAAACACACACTGGGTTAACAACAATATATACAAATTCTTTAAGCAACCTCAAAAAGAGTTCCCTACTACTACTACTACTACTGCTACTACTACCACCTACTTCAACCACTAACCTTTGCATGATCAGAAACACATACTGCTATGATCTTTCAATCAAAATAGTAGCAGTAGTAGTGGTCTTAAATATTATGTATTTCCAATCTACTACTATTACTACTACTACTACTACTGCTACTGCTACTACCACTATGACTACTACTTTGACAGAAAGGCCATAGCAGTATGTGTTACTGATCATGCAAAGGTTATAGGTTGTAATTCAGTCAAAGTAGTAGTAGTATTAGTAGCAGCAGGAGCAGCAGCAGTAGTAGTACGTGGTAGTTATTGTAAACAGAATTAAATAATAGTTACAAGTATTTTAATAAACTAAACACAATATTCTTAAATAATTATTGGATATTTGCATTTAAATTATATTTTTTGACATAATAGCACTTATGCAAAAGTAAGTAAAGGATTGAATAAGCTTCCTCTTGTAGCAGTAGTAGTAGTAGTAGTTTTTTAGTTTTTTTTGTATGTCTGCTGGTATGTTTACTTTCTATGTACCTCTATTTTGTTTAGTAGTATTTTGTATAGTAGTTGTAGGTTGCTAGTTATTAAAGGTGCACTGTGTAACTTCCCAGGTGCAGGGTCCACCACCATGTTGATGCTTTTCCTGGAATTTTTCACAGTATGATAATGACCGTATCTATTTCCATGGAGATAAGCACCATGCCAATTTACAAGTCTGATTTGTGGAGAAGTGAGGAACCTGCTTACAGTAGAATGCACATTTTTCAAGGTATTGTTTTATTGTAAAAAAAAAACCATCTATAACTAAATAACATACAAGTTTAATGTCATACTGTGGTACACTCCAGGGAAAGCAGTCTCCCAAGCATAACTCTTCAGACACAATAGGTGCTGGACTCTTACCAGAAAAGTACATAGAGTACCTTTAAACTCTATTAAATATATGTATGAGCTGGATATTCAGTAGAGTGCGTCTCATCTTGTTTATAAACTTGTCAGAAACTTAACTAAATTGAAAATGAACCAAAACTAAAACGAAACCAGCTGTGTTGTGTTTGTGTTGTGGAAGTCCCTGCTGCTGTCATGACTCACGGCTCTGGAAAATTTCTTCATAATAATCAGTGTTTCCAAGTATGACCATGTTTTATTACAAAAAGAAAATGAAAGACATATCCAAAATCCCCCTTACAGTTCAGTCAAAGAGGAGTTGTTTTCTTTGACTAACCTTTGCCTTCTGGTTTGGGTGAGCGTGGGGCACTGGCAGCGGTTTCAGTTTTGGCTGAGAGGAAATTTGGCAAGCGGTGCAAACGTGGAGAGGAGTCTGGTTTACCACTGGTCGGACTGCAGAGGGAGACAGAGAGGCACGTTCAGAAAAGATTTAAGATTTAACAATGGATAATGTGAATTTATGCAGGAATGGTTTTCTCAAAGCTGTAATGAATTGTTAATCTTAAGGATTCATATGTAAAGCCCTTCTACGCAATAAATGAAATATTGAAATAATTCTTAGACAATGAAAAACAAGTTAGCATATAATATACTGTAAACCAATTTAAACAGCAATTGGAAAATAAGTTCAGAACAACAAAAATAAAACACTGAATCTATTAAAGGAAATATTGTGACTGTGTAACTGTGAACTGTTTTAAGGTAATATTGAAATTATTTTTATGACTTATGTAAAAACCAAGATGGAATTAGTATTAGAAAGTCTCGTGGGTCAGCATTGTATAGCAATGCTTTCTCAAATTCCTAAAATGTTTCTAATATATTTATTACATTACATACAAGTATTATTTAAACTTAAACTTACATCTGCTTTCTGTAGTCATTCAGTTTCTTGCTGATTAAGGCCTGTCTGGAAAAGCCAAGCTCCTGAAACAAAATAAAATACATAATATTATGATTAGCCAAGATTTTATGGATCCTTTTATAAGCGGTCTGCCCCCTTAAAAATTTAATGTAAAAACAGCTTCTAAATAAATTAAGGTAAAATGTAACTGTCTCACAAAACGGAGATTATTGGTGTAATGTAGTTTGTCAGATGATTTTTCTCAGTAATATTAATCCGAACCAGGAGAGCAGCAAGTTGGTACATGTTTGATGGATTGTCTAAAACTTGGTAAACTATAAGAAGTTTAAGCCGTCACCTTGTTGTTAGTTTTGCTGGGAATAAATTAATATATATATATTTTAACTTATTTTAACGGCCCTGTACCCATTTTTTCCCTTGTATTTGAGCAAATACATGGGAAAAATGCCCCAGTACAGATATATTGTATAAGCAGCTCTTGAGGTTTTATACATTATATATTCTTCTTCCCACTCCCTTTTGAGCCACATCTGTCATTGTCTTGTGAATATGTAGGCGTGTGTGTGTGTGAACAGCTATGTAAGAACACAATACAAACCTACTATGTAATCTTTTACCGTGTAAATGTAAATATTGTACACCTGTAACTACTGTCATGAGCTCAAAATGAATCAATCAATCAAAATAAGTTTGTTGTGTATTGTCAGGAAGTGTGCACTTAGTATGGTAATTGTCTTGTAAACTGTGATGGCAAAACTCCACTCTAAAAGTTATAAAAAGCACTTATAAAAGCACTTATAAACCCATCACAGTGAATAATTAGGATACTCAGAAAGCATAAAGTAAGTGAGGAGTAACTTTGGATCACTGCAAACAGTTTAAAATGAAATATCTCTGTTTTTCACATTTTTAAGGCAGTAAAATTCAGATACAGCGCCGTGTAACTTTTTGGTTTGGGGTCTGTCACCTGCTTGTTTCTATGAATATGTTATTGCCCTGCCTGGAATGTTCCGCAGTATGACATAACAGGTTTTATGGCTCAAAAATACCCAGAAAAACAGGCCTTCTGACTGTGAATGGGTTCACTTCTCCACAGATCTGACCTGAAACTTGGTTTGGTTTCCATTAAGATAGAAAGGTTCAATGCCATACTGTGAAACATTCCTAACAAAGCAATAACATCTCCATGGAAAGAAGTATTTGAGAGGCCCTCCACCAGAAAAGTTTCACAATGCACCTTTAATAACAGAATTTGGTTTAATATGATAACGCCACAACTTCTGATGTTTGTTACCTCATTGTCCGTTTTGCTGTTTTCTCTTATGACCTTGATCCAGTCCAACATGTCATCACGGTCCTCGGCCTGGAGCAGGTACTCGCAGAAGTCCTGGGTGGTGAGTCTCAGGGCGTTTTTCCGTTTGGTTTCACTGTACGCGATATCCACCAGGCAGCCGCGGATGCTGACTGGCTGATCTTCCTCTGCCCCGCCCCCGACCGTAGCCCCTCGTAGCACCGCCTCCCTCTTGTCTTTGTACAGAAACAGCGAATGGGACCGGAGCACGGAGAAGACTCGTTTCCATGGACGCATGCCGCTGCCAACCTTCTGTAAATTACAAGAAGAGAACAATATGATAAAACAAACTTTTGTCCAGACCTGCACGATTAGGAAATAGTATTGCACAAGTACAGAGATTTTGGTTTCATGTTTTGATAACGGGATTCTGAAATAAAACTGAAATATGAAGTCAAACTAATACAAGAATCACATTTCAGAACATGTTTGTACAGATCTATTGTATGAGAGAAAAATATGGTAAAATGCACGATTTGGGAAATATATTTAATTGCATATTTTTGCACAACCATTGTGATTACAATTTAATTTGCCATTTATGTTTTAATAATATGATTCTGTTCAAAGTTAGGATAATTAGTTGTTTTGGGAGAAAATTATGGTACTTCAAAACAGTTAGGAATGTAACAATATCCAGACTTCTCAGTACGATATTTTTGCAATATGCATCTCACAGTATGATATTTATTGCAGTATTTTGTAGAAGCTAACAAATATGTGACAAGTATATTCACAAATATGAGCAAAGAGACTTGACATTCGATATATTGTGATATTCCACAATATTACGGAGAACTTTTGAAGATGCAATACTGCGTTATTTCGGTTATTGTCACATCCCTAGTAGCATTCTTATGACTTCATTGCTAGTGATGTTTTTGCCCTTAGAAAATACCTGAGAGACCTTCAACACACATTTTTATGATACAGCATTAGGGTTTCCCCATGACCAGTAATTTCTCCTCATAAAAGTAATCGCAGACAACAGTTGTTTCTGTGGTTGGCTATGCATTATTGGATAAAAATAAATCACCAGTTTCAACATTGTAGATTATTTTTCCTTTTGCATATATCTTCATGACAGAGAGAGACAGAGCGGGCCCTCACCTTGCCCTTTTCTGTGAGGATCTGTTTGTAGTGGAGCCATCCCTCTCTCCGCACGTCACTGTACGTGATGTTCCCCAGCTCTGAGGTCGAATGGCGCTTGGACCGAACTTCCTCTGCTGACCCCAGATTATCCAAAGACTAAAAAACACAAGAAGGAAAATTTAATAAAATTATATTATTTATTAAACGCTTTGAGTACAGTATAGTCTACAATTTTCTTTCTCTGCTTACTTATGAACTGCCTTAAGATTGTAGATTAGAAACAGTTCACATCCTTAACCTTACAGCAAAACACATTTCTAGGTAAAATTTTAACTCAGAAAGCTATGAACATTTACCTTTGCAGAAAGGCTGCTAATAATTCTGTAAACAAATGGGGCTGATTCCTTATTCTTTAAAATAATAATACATTTGATTTATATAGTGGTTTTGTAAACTCAAAAAGATTCAGGCAGACTAAGGCCTATTTCAGCAATCAGATCTTTAAAAATCTTCAAAAATAGCATTTGACTTTTAAAAATATTATTTATGGTCCAAAATATGTGTTATTATGTTGTTTATGATAGTGAAATAAATATTTACATTTGCAGCATAAAAGCTGTAGTACAGAGCTTCTGTAGCTCCTGCCTCTGTGTGGAGCACTGTGTAATTTGCCTGCCCCATAAAAGGGGAGGAAATGATGCACTCAGGTGTTGCAGTGTGAAGGAAGGAACAGTCTTTTGACTGTGGTCTATAAGGGGCTGGATCTGTGTAGTATTTGGATGGCTGTAAGATATGCCAATAAATATTAAGGAACACAGCATTTTCTGGACTCTCTTTAATGGAAGACATGTGTTTGAGGCACCACACATGCAGACCCTACACAGGGCAAGTTTTGGCCCCCACAAAGGCATTTTTGTACTTACCCCATCTGTGAAGAAGCTCTTTACTCTCTTTGGTAGCCTCCTGCTGATGACAGAAACAAAACAAATATAAGTTAAAATTCCACATACTACCTCAAACCAGACTCAAATTAATTCAAAAATAACACTCACGAAAACACGCGTCCCTCGTCCCTGAAGGTGTTGAGTCCTTCATCACATGACTTGGAGCGCTCTGTTGTTATTGCTAGAAGATAGGAGGAACGGCGAGTCGATTTAATACTGCCTGCTCAGGGACAGTGTGAATGAGCGGAGAGACAAAAAGGAAGGATGAAAACAAAGAAAAAAGAAAAAGAAAAATGTAACGATGTAATGCCAATCACCACAAAGGCGTTGGATTAACAAAAAGGATAGTGACAGAAAGCAACGGGGGTGGTACCATGAGTAAGTTACTGTGTTAATATTTGACATTAGGAGATGGGCAGGCGGTGTTAAAATTTCCCTTCTCATCACTAACATGCAGATATAACAGAAATATAAAAACACATACATACAATTAACTCATGCAATTCTAGATTCAAATCAGTGTTAACCTAAAATATTTCCTTATGTAGTTGTAAATCATGCAGTTTAACTAAATCTTGAGTTGTTTTGACCAGCATGCAGGCACACATCTTACCAAGTAATTTTGTTTAAAAGTTCAATGGACCAGAATCACAATTTCAGCATCTACTTTACTTCAGGGTCTACCACAGAGGCCGGGTTTTAGTTCAAACTATTTTTATGGCAAGACACCTTTCCTGTATGCATGTTTTTGTATGATTGGTGGTTATCGAAGAGGCCATTGGTACAAACTGGCTGCAACAGTTAGGCAACCAGGACATCCAGGAGAGCCGTGGCTACACAGTAACTAACCACCATTGAAGAAGGAATTAATTATATTATATGCCAATTTATAAAAAATATATATACTTTTCAGTACTAGCAAAGTGTAGTATAACTTGACAAACCTTTAAGTCATGTGATAAGGTTGTTACCTCTTCAAAAACATACCCGGAGCTGTGTGTTGTTTCATTCACACATTTTCGAGTAACCCTGTTGACATCTCCAAAGCCAAAAATGCCTTCCACCTTGCTGAAGTTGTTTAAAATTACTTGATAAGATGTGAACCACAAAGATGCCTAGTCTTTTAGAGAAAACGCACTCTACATAATTCACTACACATCCACGTAGATACAACAACATCACAGATTGGGTTATTTCGCCGCATGCCGTCACACTGTTGGATTCGGAGAGAGAGGGAGGAGGGGTGGAGTAGGAGGAGAGGAGGGCGGGACTCACTGCAGTCCTGTGAGAAGAGCCTAGTGAGGGGGAAGGTGAAGGTGGGGGAGGCGGGGCTGGTGACCACAGGGGGCGCTGAAGACATGCCGCTGGAGACCACTGAAGAAGCTGGGACATGCCGCGCCCGCAGGTCTGCACTCGGACTGGTCGGTTCATCTGTGGGCGGGGCCAGGAGACGAGGAGGAGGGAGGAGGAGAGGTAGAGGAGGGAGGAAAGGAAACAGGAAGTATAAAGTGTTAGAGAAATAGGTTTTTAAAGGGAAAAGCAGGGTTAGTTTAGAAAAAGTTGCAGGAACAAAACAGGTAAGGAACCAGGTTATCATTAAAAATACCGTTGATGCTTTCTTCAGTGTTGAAACTCCTATAAGGGATACTTTAATATGGACTAATGATGCCGTAATTAGGGATGCTCTGATACTGATACTGGTATCGGATAGTGGCGGGTATCGGCCCCATGATATTCAGCCGATATTCTGACAAGACTGTTTACTGTGTGATGTAGAATGTCTCATAATGTTTTCATTTTTTCCATGGATAAATAACATTTACATAACACAATTGGATCCATTTTGTAATAAGTTAACTGTTTTGGGGGAGAAAGCCTATTCTTAGTCCCCACACTGGTATCTATTAATATCAGATAGTTAAAGCTAATAATCGATATCCATCCCAGAGCTGAAAAAGTTGGATCGTGCATTCCTAGTTAACATCTGTACAGTTCTACTTACTTACTTACTTTAAATATGGACTAAGTTAAATGCTCATGAATGTTAGTTTTCTGTATTGTCATTGTAAAATAATAAGACAACAACATATTTTGCTTGACTGAATGAGAAAGCCTTGACAAAAACGCTTACATTGAATTAGCAGAAAACACAATTTAACTCAACACTGACCTATAGTCTTACCTACTATTGCGTGAATGTCCCTTGTTAATTGTCTGTTGTGTCTATATGTTTTTGTGGTGAAATGTCAACAACTGTCATGACGTCTGTGGAAACATATTTGATTTGGGACAGTAAAGTCTTGTCTATCTAAACATGTTTTAAATACAAATCTGATAGAATGGAAATCATCCAGATGTAGACATAAAGTTACGATCTAGGTGACAAGAGACTAAACATAATGCTTCACAGCCTGCTTCTTCAAACAGTGTAACCCAGTCCATCACAGACCTTCTGAAAAAACAGGGAACAAACAGGAAAAAACCTGAACCACAAATGTTATCTCTGGAATCTAAATGTATCTCTTTCTACACCACAAGCTTTTATCTGAAAAAATACAAAGTCGTTTTGACTCACAGCGTCCCTGTTGTTATGTTTGAATTCATTGTAGTATATTCAGTCATCTTCTACAAAGGGAGCATTTTTACACACACACATTTTGTTTGTGGAATACATACAATTCTGTTCAAAACTGTATACCATTTTTCTTTCAGATCTCAAAATTTCAAAAAGATTGCTCAAGTACAGACAAAAGTAAATCACAATTTAAAGTACTGTGCTTCTATACTAGCTACTAAAATAACTACTAATGCATAATTTACAACTACTATTACTGAACTGCTATTATTACAACTACAACTATTACTACAACAACAACTGTTACTCCATCAACTACTACTACTAATACTACTACTACTACAACAACTACTACTACTACTAATATTAGCCTACTGCTTCTACTACTACTAAAAATAAAAAGCTACATCTCTCAAATTTGCACTGTAACATTTAAATATATCTATATTAGTACAGAAAAAGAAATTCAAAACAGCTATTAGTTTCAATTCCTACAGAGAGCCTTTAACATTTTGTCTAACGCAGCACACAAAAGTTTAAAATAGAACGTCACCTCAGAACTGTAACAGGGGTGATAAGATACGAGCATACATTTCCATATAGACAGTACCTGTGTCTCCTGCTGCCATAGAAAGTGCTAATGAACCTAACCAGCTAACCTTATTTCCCAGTTTGGTTATAGCTTAAATACATGTGTAGTTTCAGTTCTACATAATACTAAATGAACAATAGTACTACCACATTGGACTGGAAGCAAAATTCACACTTTATTACTGAGATAATAGCTTTGTTGACAAATGTGTAATGATTAACTGTTGTGAGTTAATACAAGAGTTGCCAGATATGGAAAAATTACATGTTTTTGTTGTGTTAGTGGATTATAAAGTAGTTTCGGTTGGAGACAGGATACGAGGATGTGAAACCACTATTCACAGTCAAACTTCCGGACTCAAATGGAGGATTATGCACGGACTGGTGTTTGCATACTGTTAAATAAAGCAGAATTTGACATTTTAAACTCTTAAGTGGGTGTCCAAGTGATGTAGTTTGCCAGGAAGCCACCAGAGGGCAGCACAAATACAGTACAATGCTGAGATGGTTCCTTATGGTTCAGTAAGAATGTGTTCTATTTAAGCTATAGGTTTACAATTTAAGAGCCACATTTATACCAATGTTTAGTTGATATGACAAAAATGTTGATATGATAAAAATGAGTTGAACATTTCTAGGTAAGAATTTTGAGGTGGTGAAAAAAATATATACCGGTTTGATGTAGTTAAAACAAAATAATGACTTATCAGAGAATTTTGGCTATAATATGGTAAATTGTCTATGTAAAAATTATGCATGTTACTTTAAATACAATTTTTCAAATGATTTCAGGAGGGGTTCATTGAAAATAATGGTTTTCTGGTGGTTGGACAAACATATAAATATGCCTTTAATGGACTGTGACCTATAATTGACCAGGTTCAAGATTTTGGAATTTCCTTTTTACATCATTGATACAGGAACTTTGGCTCCCCCATTTGATTGGGTCACAGCATTGCATGTAATAAGTTTAAAAACTGTGAACTATATATAGTACTATAATGTGTAACAACTCAACTCAAAATAAAGAACGTTCTTTAATAATACCAAAAAGCATGTACATTTAAGACTATGAGAGCGCAGATATACTATGGAAGTAATGACTTTTTGCTGAGGCTTTCCTTCACACTAGACTGGATAAAGAACATTCAGTACCATTCACACATGTAACTCCAATGTATCTGTTCTTATTCTAATACTGTAATAGTAGTAGTAATAACTATATTATAATGTAAAACAACTCAACTCTAATAAAAAATGTGCTTTAAAGGTGCATTGTGTAACTTTTTTGGTGGAGGGTCCATCAAATGCTTTTCTCCATGGAGATGTTATTGCTTTGTCTGGAATATTTCACAGCATGGTATTAAACCTTTCTATCTTCATCTAGACCAAACCAGACCAAGTTACAGGTCATATCTGTGGAGACGCCACTCCGCTAACAGTCAGAATGCTTGTTATTGTAGGTGTTTTTAAGTTATAAAATCACCTGTAATTGAATAAATGTAAGGTGGAGCTATTTAATGTTATATTGTGCAACATTCCAGGCAGAGCAATAACATATCCACAGAAACAAACACATGACAGACCCCAACCAAAAAGTTACACAGTGCGCCTTTAACAGTACTAAAGAAATACTCTCTTCTCCACTGCTTTTTCCCTAGATCACTCTTTACAGATACAACAGACCAGGATGAGCTGCCCACACTCGAGCTGCAGTTTTGTGGATGTCCTTTTGACCCAGTGGCCCAGTTTAGTGCCTTCGAACAATTAGGCCCTTGTCCAACTTGCCTCAAATTCTTCTGCAGTTTTGTGGTAGCTAAAAAGATGCCGTCATGGATTTTTCACTTCCTCTGACATATTATGTAGGTATATGCCAATCTCTCTACTGTATATTTATAATGCAGTTTATACATAGTTACAGGAATGTGCATTTAATACGTTTTATACAAAAATGTTATGCAGTTGAAAATACAACACTGTGTGCTTGTTTTGCGAATCAAAAGCTAAGTAACAACACTTTACTTATGCACATTGCTTTAAACTTTTAAACTAAAGTGCCACAAACATATAAACACTATTCTATCAATAGCTTCTCAACAAGTTGAATTTTGCATAAAAAAGTAATGTCAGTAAAAAACAAAATGCAGCAGTACATTGCTATTAAAAAGAAGGACAAAATACTCCTACGCCACTTTGGTCACCTCTGATTGTTGTTGAGCTGTTAAAATGAATGATTGACAAATATGGCTTCTATTATTTTCCTACATTTTTACAATAGAAGGCTTAAACTCAAGGAAAAACATAATATAACATAATGTAGTAAACTGTTTCAAAAGTCATAAAATTAGCACTGGGGACAGAGCTTGTAACACAAAATGGCGCCCACCACAAAAACATAAGGTCTTGTTTCTATTCTGTTTAAACCCAAAGAGTCCGTTATATAGACCAAGCCTCCACATATAGACACATACAGAGAGAGAGGCTGACCACTGCTCCTTCTGACACACAGGAGGACAATAGAAGCCATTGAAGCCATGAGCCAAGACTCTGGGCTCCCACTGTTCTCTGCTAGAAACATGCCACACAAACCTCCTGCTAATTTACAGCTACAGAAATGAGTGGGAACAGTCTCAATATGCTGACATACGGCTTCCACTTTTATACAGTGGACATCTGCTGGAAGGAAATATGAAAATAACTAAAGTAATTCCACCTACAGATACTTTGGAGGTGATGTTGTCAATATTCCCTGGGGTGTGATGCTAACTGTAGGCACTGGCCTGTCTGAGGCTTTGTCAAACTTTAATCTGATTTTCATTTCAACATAATCTGTAATAGTAGTAGTAGAAGTAATAGTAGTAGGAATAGGAGCAGCAGCAGTAGAAGTGGTGGTAGTAGTAATAGTAACAGTAGCAGTAGTAGTAGTGATAGTGGTAAAAATAGTAGTTGTAGCAGTAACAGTAACAATAGTAGTAGTAACAGTAGTAACAGTAGTAACAGTAGTAGTAGTAGTAGTAGTAGTAGTAGTAGTAGTAGTAGTAGTAGTAGTAGTAGTAGTAGTAGTGGCAAAAGCAATAACAATAGTAATAGTAGTAACAGCAGTAATAGTAGTAGTAGTAGCAAAAGCAATAACAATAGTAGTAGTAGTAGTAGTAGTAGTAGCAAAAGCAATAACAATAGTAGTAGTAGTAACAGTAGTAGTAGTAGTAATGGCAGCAAAAGCAGTAACAATAGTAGTAGAAGAAGTAACAGTAGTAGTAGTAATAGTAGTAGTTGTAGTAGCAAAAGCAATAAGAATAGTCGTACAGTAACAGTAGTAATAGTAGTAATAGTAGTCGTAGCAGCAGTAGTAGTTGCAGCATCAGCAGCGACTGGTTACAAATTTTGAAATAACAATACTTTTACTTGAGTTTCACCCCTTATTCTACCTCTCATTAAATAAAACCACAGCCAGGATTTAATTAGCACAATCCTAAAGATAAAAATACTCAAAGAGAGACAGCAGAAGTGCAGTCTGTGGGGAGAGAAGGGCCTAGTTTCAGTTTGGAGCCTTTAAACGTGTCCCGACCTGCGCAGAGCTACCTGGTTTCGCTGAAATGAGGTGAAGGCAGGAATGTGGTCAGACTAACTCAACAAATAGTGTACAAAGAGAAGTTACATATGCTAAAGGTTTAATGACTTTTGGTTGGACTTCTTAGTAGTAGTAGTTGCAAGCAGTAATAGTAATAGTAGTAGTAGTAGTCGTAGTAGTAGTGGCATCGGTAGTAGTAGCAGAAGTAGTTTTAATAGTATCATTAGGAGTAGTAGTGGTAGTAACAGTAGCATTATTATTATTAGTAGTAGTACTAGTAGCAGCAGTAGTAGTTGTTGTTTTAGTAGTACTATTCATTTTGAAGAATATGTACCGAGCAGATGTACATTGAACATATATGTAGTAGTATTAGTACTATAAGCAGCAGCAGTAGTAGTAGTAGCTGTAGTAGTTGTTGTTTTAGTAGTAGTCGTAACAGACATTTTGGACAATAACCCCTCAGAGTAACTAATAACATCTAAGAGTACAGAGAGCAGATATACTATGGAAGCAATGACTTCTTGATGTAGCTTTCCTTTCACACTAGACTTGATAAAGCATTGTTTCTCAAACTGGGGTAATGGGCTAACTTATCCATGGTTAACTAATTTTAGACCTGACTAAGACTCATTTGAGCCATAGTCTAGATTTAAATCTGGTGGTACCCGGGAAAGCCAAAATATGCAGTACTTGGTACATTTTCCAAACCACTGTGATACAGAACATTCAGTACCATTCACATATGTAACTGCAACTTATCTGTTCTTATTGTAGTACTGTAGTAGAAGAAGTGGACAGTAACAGCAGTAATATTAGTAATAGTAACAGCAGTAGGACTATATAACAGTGTACGAGCAATAGATATGCTATGCAATAGATTTTTGGTCAGACTTTTCTAGTAGTAGTAGTAGTAGTAGTAGTAGTAGTAGTAGTAACAGTAGTAGTAACAGTAATAGTAGTAGTAGTAGCTGCAGTTTTTTTGCAGTTTCTTGGTTTTGGTTTGGTTTGTTGAAAAGTATACAAATTGAAGAGTTAAGCTTATGTGTCCACACTGCATGACCTAAAATGTCATTGGCTAGTTTTAGCCACGTCAAACCTGAGTCAGCCGATTTGAATCTGTTTAGCATTTTGTATTTTGACTCCTCTGGCTCGGACATGGGCGACAAGGGAGTGGCAATTTGGACAGGCGAAATTTGCCTTTGATTTCAGTGTAACTCACTTTACCTGCTTTTTATTTATTTAAAAGTCCCATATTACACAAAATAGAGTCCTGTGAGCTTTAAGCCACGTTATAATGCTGTTACCTTATCAAACATACCCAGAGTTGTGTTTTTTGTTTCATTCACACCTTGAGTCTGTTAATACTAATCTGTCTACATCTCCAAAGTCCATAATGCTCTGTTGCACTTTGTGTTGTCATGTAGTGGTAGCTTTCAAGTTAACATCTACCTTTGACCTTTTGTTCAGTAGAGAAATCATCCATATGATTGTAGTAAAGGTGTTTGGAGTTTAAAAACACAGTGTAGCACTATCTGTATTAACACATGACATCACAAGGTGGAACAGAGTGTTTTCTGTTTTAGAGACTAATTCAGCCTAAATATGCAGGATTAGTGTGTTAAACATGTGTGAATGAGACAAAACACATCTCCAGGTACGTTTGTGATAAGAAAACAACATTATAACATACATGAGAAAATAGTGTAATATGAACCCTTTAAAGGCTGCTGTCATCATTATTGCTAAAGTTCAAGCAGTAGTCAAAAAAGAAGAGCCCCTTTCTCTTTTTGAAGTGTTTTTAGTGAATACAAGCCATGACATGATCCAGCTAACCCGCCACTGTCACTGACACAAAGGCTGGGACTGTACCAAACACAAAAACAAGTCAGCCATATTTGAAGTTTGAAGTTAAAATGACTCACTCAAACTTAGTCACTTTGCCCAGAGGCTGATCTTGACTCAATACTTTTATATGGCCCTAAGCTGAAGAGATGATTTACAGACTGTCACCTCCATGTGAAATTAACTCATCACAAAAATTTACTATTTTGGGGGCATCACACATATTAGAAAAATCTTATGCAAATAAAAATAGGTCTTATATCAGTGTTTTCCAGCATAAAAATTGCATAAAGCTCTTGTGTCATACCAATGGAGATTGCAAAATGCTAACTAGGCAAATCTGAGTAAATTCAAAAGTGCTCTGTATACTATGATAGAAACCCTGCAGTTAATGAATTATGCATTGTTTTGGCTAATTCATCTCTGTAAACATTTAATCCATTGACAACAAACATGGAACTACCCTTAAATGTATAAAAAATACAAGCTATAACATCTTTAAAAATAATGAATTAACAAATATGAATCTTACAAAGAAATGTTATTCTGTGACCAATCTACTTAAACACACAAAAGTATATCAGCAGTAGTTACTTTTTAAATTCTAGATAAGTCAACTAAATCAAACTAAGTCAAAGTCAAAGTAAATGTAATAATTGTTGTAGTAGAAATATTGGTTGCAATGGTACCAATGATAGCACAAATATCATGGTAGTAGTAGTTGTAGTAATAGTAGCAGCAGCAGTAGTAGTAGTAGTAGTAGTAGTAGTAGTAGTAGTAGTAGTAGTAGTAGTAGTAGTAGTAGTAGTAGTAGTAACAGTAAAAGCAGCAGGTATTCTGAATCTACTTAAACTAGAGCTACTACTCAAACTAAATGCTGTTGCCTATGGAAATAATAATATATATATTTTTTTAAAAACTGTTCTGATATAAGCCAAGGTCATTTTAAAACTATTAGAAAAGGTGTTCTTGTGATTTATATATTTTTTTTTCCAGTGTTGATGCTTGTTAAAAAGATCTAGTTTCGATACTAGTTTCAGCATTGACAAGTACTGTTTATTTACTTTTACAACCCTATTTTCTTAAGCTTATTATATTCCAGTAATAGTAGGAGGAGAGCTCTCTCAAACATGATTCAATGACTGGTAATAATTCTATAATAGTGAGACTATGGGAGGATCCTGTATTTCTCAAGACAAACTCAACCGCCCACTTCATCACTCCATCACATGTCAATGAGAGAGCGGTGAATAATGGATCAAGCCTCAATGAAAAGACAGGAAGGAAATTAAAACTGCAAAACAAAACTAGTTTTCAGTGTTTGGGAATGTCTATCTGCCTATCTATCTCTTTCCAATGCACATTTTGAAATATGTTGTAAAGTTGGCCTATGTAACTTTTCTGATAAGGGAGTCCGCCACCGTGGAGATGTTACTGACTTAAGACTGCAGTAGACAAGTTAAAGGTGGAACATTCCAAGCAGTAAAATAGCCTTTCCATGTAACAAGCAGGTGGATGAATCTCCACCTGAAAAGTTACATACTCTACATACTCTACTTCCTTCAAAACTCAAGCTAGCACCGGTAACTAGCACACATTTGCATATTTGCATCCCCAGTTGACAATATGTGTGTGTGTGTGTGTACTGAACTGAATGAACACTCACCTATGAATGGTATAGAGGCCAGGGAGTCGTCCTCGATGGGTAGGGGGGCCAGGCTGCCGTTGGGTTTTCCGTGGAGCCCCCTCTTCTCCTGATGCCCCAGGGTCCTGGTCTGGGGAGAAGAGCGAGGGTTCGAGTCCATCTATGGGCAGAGCGTAGTGGGCTTGTCTCATGCACTGAGCGTTTCTGCGTCCTGTCGGGGGCTTCTGTCTCAGGACCACCTCCTGGGTTTGGGCCGTCACCTCCTCCGCCGTCCCTCGCTCCCTCTCGTGGTTGGTGGGCCGATATGAGCGGTCCTGGGACTCAGAAGCACTTGAGGAGAGCGGGGAGGAGGTTGACGACACCAGGGGGGCAGGGGTGGTCTCGGGGGGGCTGGTTGGGTTCCAGTTCAAGTGTGGGCCAGAGTATGAGGGGTCCCTGAAGGAGTGTGCCTGCATGATGCGCCCGGTCTTTCGGTAAAAGGAGGGGCTGTAGCTGCGGTAACCCACGGGCTGGTCGTCCATGCTCTGTGCGTGGGGCAGGCGGCGGCTCTGGGGCACGGCCTGCTGCTGGGGGGGCTGAGTATGTGGGGAAGTGGAGTGTTTGGGATGAGGATGTCTGGAGGCAGCAGGAGCCTGGGGGGGTACATAATGTCCGGTCTGTCGGGGGTACAGGTCGTTCCTGGGGGGAGGTTGAGGGGGCTGGTTCCACCTCTCAAAACGAGGGGAGACGGTGGTTCGGTCCAGCATCTCCATAGAGCGCCCCCTGTGGTCGTACTGAGCCAGCAGGTTCTCGGAGCGTGTCCGTGTGTAGTTGGAGGTATGGCCCCGTCCTGGTCCTGACTCATACTCCCCATAGGTCCAGTAGGGCTCCCCCTGAGGCCCTGGTCCAGACTGCTGCAGGAGGAAGAGTGTGTCCTGGGAGGCGCTGTGGGGCCAGCCTCCAGACCGCTGCTGCCTCTTGTACTCACTGAGCCGGTCCTGAGAGTAGCTGCGCTGTCTCTGTGTGCTGCGGCCGGAGCGCTCAGGCCGCTGGCTGTAGTACCAGTCTGAGAGGGCCTGCTGGGTGCGCTCACAGCGGGGGTGGGCCTGGGGGGGGCTGGTCCAGGCGGAATTGGACTTTCGGGGTTGAGAAGAGGAGCTGTGGTTGGGATAGTGCACCTGCAGAGGGCTGGACAGAGGTCCGGAGGATGAGGAAGAGGAGAAGGACCGACCCCTGGTCTGGCCCTGAGGCTGCTGACTGGTCATGCCGTACTGGATCTCCTCGGTGCGGTGGGCAGGACTGCTGTGACCCACGCCCCCGGGGTCTCCGGGACGCCCCTCCTGCCAGCTGGGGGGGCTGCCCACTGCAGAGCGGTTGTCCAGAGGTGAAGAAGGGCCTGAGGAGCCGGGCCAGCGAGTCCAGTTATCCAGCTGGTTCTGGCCCATAGATCCCGGGGAGGGCGTCCCCGCAGGGGGCTGGGACTTGGTGCGAGAGTATGAGAGGGGAGGAGGGGGCGGGAGGTGCTCCGCTCCCCCGGAGTACGGCTCGTTGCCTGTCAGGTAGGCATCCTGGGAGTACGCCTGGAGGAGAGGTGAAGGAAAGGTGAGAGTGTAACACAAAATACACATCAGATCAAAATTAAGCTTTGTGTCAACAGAGCTGACAGCAACATAAACCATAAGCAGAGTCCATATGACATGACTGTACATTACACAACAGTATGTTTAAGAGGAACAGACTCAAACCCTGTCACCACAGTGTGTCCCTCAGGGCCTCTGTTCTCAGAACAAACACCAGCACCAAGTAGCCAGCATGCATGTCCTCACAACATGAGACAGTACGCTTTAACCTTCAAAACTACATGAATCAATAGTAAGTCTTCTACAATCAATTAACTGAATTGGGCATGCACACATAAAGAGATTTAAAAATATAGCCATCAAAATTAGACTTGAAATGAGTTCTATAGTAATTATAAGTCCGACACTAATATAAAAACAAAAAGAACACAGTGAAGACAACCTGTCCGAGTGTCTCAGATCAGGGCACATTTTCCTCACCAACTCTCTGCTGAAGCTACACCCTGACGCCTTTGATTCTTTCAAATGTCTTTTTCCTTAATTTCTTTTTTTGGAGCGTTTTTCCAGGACTTTATCTGCTGCTCGTCTTGTTTTGTCCTGTCTCAGATCTTTCCAAACTCTCTCTCTCTCCTCTCTGAGCCTCACTCCACCCTGTGGGAGTGTACAGCTCTGTGATGTCATGCTAGGAATGCAGTACACACAGGCACAGCTAAAGGGGAGGAGTGCAGGCACGAATACTGAAATAGAGTTATACTTTTGGGTCATGCAACCTCCCCGTGATTATAAGTCCAAATTATAACATGTCTAAAATCAGAAAACGCATTCATTCTTGCTAATAGTTATTCAGGTCAGTGTAATATAACTTATAGTGATGGGGAGGGACTAGGCATGGTGCATGTCTGTTCATGTGAATGACGTTTTCAAAAATGTACAGCAGGAGCAGAGAAAGAGATCGAGAGAGGCACTTTTTCAAAATGGAGGCGTTGACAATAAAGACACAAGCACCTTTAATGAACGCATGTTGTGATGTAAACACAGAGAAGACAGCCTGAGTCACGGTTTGCAAATCTTTCGCATTCTTTGCCAATGAATCCAGTTTCAAGTGCTGCCCATGCTGCATTTTACACTTAGGTAAAGACCATAATTATGCAAAAGTGGAGTTAGAATGCAGACGGCAGAAATAGACCTAAAATTACAAACAGTATTACTCAATTAGTGTGTTTTTTCTTTTCTTAGACAAACTGAATAGATACACAAGGGAAATTATTTGGACTCAGCTAAAATAACAGTTGACTCGTGTCAAATAAGGCATAATTATATAAATGTATATGTATAAGTAAAAAAAAAAATATATATATATATATATAGTAATAAAAATATATGTCTCAGCTATATACTAGGTCATAAGGAAAAAACAGAGCAAAGATGAAATAGTGACTGACATGACTCTCTATTACATAAGTTGTTGTGCAGTTGTATGGAGTACGTTATGAATGTAGTCCTTGTTGTGCTGTCTACTACTTAACAATTTATAGCATTATTCAAATATGTTTTGTAACAATGATAAAAGTGTGAATTTTGTAAAAATGTTTTGAAACTATAATATTTTGATGCCTGAATAACATCACTTTGCTCCTGTGTTTTTGCTTATATCCTAGTACTGAAAAAAATTTGATTATTTTAAAGGTACACTATGTAACTTTTTGGGTGGGGGTCTGTCACCTGCTTGTTTCTGTGGATATGACATTGCTCTGCCTGGAATGTTCCACAGTGTGACATTAAACAGCTGTAGCTCACATTTATTAAATTATAGGTTATATAGCTCAAAAATACATAGAAAAGCAATAATTTTAAATGTGAGCGGAGTTGCTTGTTCACAGATCTGACCTGTAACTTGGTCTGGTTTGGTCTCAGTGATGTTAGAAAGGCTTAATACCATACTGTGAAACATTCAAGACAAAGCAATAACTTCTACATGAAGAAAAATATTTCACAGGCCCTGTGACAGAAAAGTTACACAATACACCTTAATGATTTGAAGAATTTTCTTAGAGTTATAATGTTAAAGTTGTAATGACGTTTTGGCAATGTCAGAAAAGAAAAAACAGTTTAGATACATAAAGGTCAGACAGTCCATGATAGACATTAAGATCTGGCAGCCCTAATCTATTTTATCTAATTTAACCAGTAGGTCTAAAGTGGTGGATAAAAATTTAACAACCTTTTAAAACCTTACATGACAAAGCAAAAAGTAAAATCTAGCCAAGTTAAGATTACTTGAATTGAGAAAGTTTTATCAGGATTTGAGTAAATTTCACTTGACAAGTAAAATGATCTACCAATGGAATAAGATTTTTATACTTAAAATATGAAAATACATCTTGCTACAACAACTCTTTGCATTTAAAGTAAGCAACAAACTCTAATGTTTATGAATTAATAAGAACACACTTATTCCACTGGTAGATAATTTTACTTGTCAAGATGAATCTACTCAAATAAAGTAAAGTGTTCTTAATTTAAGTAAATCTGACTTGCCTAAATATTGCTTTTTGCAGTGTACAAGAAACATTTGTATATGAGACAAAGCCTGCACACTTACTCCCAAACTCCATTAAATGCAGTTTGGGAGTAATGTTCATTGTAGTAGCCTTGCAACAGCGATGTGTGTATACCTATGCATTTTAAGATACATGAAAAATTAGTCCCATTCAAGAAAACTAATACTACATATCCCGGTAATTATTAGCTCACTATGTAATTAAAGCTCTTTTAAACATGCGTGTATGTATTTACTGAATGAATGCAAACTATGTAGTAGCCCTATCCCGGACAACACACACAAAAATACTTCTCTAAGCCACATTATTAGTCTCCTGTGATCTAACTTTAAAACTATTCAGACATCTTAATAGTTGTGTAACCTGCAATCACATTCATAGAGTCTCATGCATGCTTTACTATATCTTCTTAAAGGTGCATTGTGTAACTTTAGTGGTGGATTTCTGTCAATTGCTTTCCATGGAACTGTTGTTGCTTTGTCTGGAATGTTTCACAGTATTGTATTAAACCTTTCTATCCTCACCAAACCAGACCAAGTTACAGGTCAGATCTGTGGAGAGGCAACCCTGCTCACAGTCAGAATACCTGTTTTTCTAGGTATTTTTGAGCTGTAAAACCACCTGTAATTGAATAAATGTAAGGTAGAGCTGCTTAATTTAATACTGTGGAACATTCCAGGCAGAGCATTGACATACCCATAAAAACAAGCAGGTGACGGAGCCCCAACGAAAAAGTTACATAGTGCATCTTTAAAAATAGGTTGCACTAAAATATCACAATGTTCAGTTTCCAATTAAAATGTTCTAAAAAGTTAAATTAAATCTCACCAACTGGAGGACGTCTTCATCTTTGGGCATAATAGAAAGCTCCAACACGCTCTCGCTGCAAAGAGGGAGGAAGGATATTATCAATGTAAACACAAGGCTCTGATGAAATGTGTACATTCCACTGGAAATTAATGATGTGTTTGAAATAAAAGAAAACTATTTGTAATCTAATACTGGAGACAGTGTAGTTACATAATAAAATATATATTAGGCATTGCGAGGTGAACTTAATTATGTTTGCTAATACAATCACAACTGAATATACAAGATTATAAAGATTATACAAGAAATTGCAAGGATTTCATTTTTTTTTAAATTAACCCATAGGAAAAGTGTTTAGGTTAGTGATTCAATTCAAAATTTGGTTTAAATACACATAGAATGAAATAGTAAATATTATACTATTACGTAAAATTAAGTCTTGTGAGCTTTCAGCCATGTTTGAATGTTGTTATCTCATCAAAAACAGACCTGGAGTTGTGTTTTGTTTCATTCACATACGTTGGAGTAATTCATTATTATCAGTCTGTCTACAGTACATCTCCAAAGCTCAAAATGCTCTGTTCCACCTTGTGATGTCATGAAGCGGTAGTTTTCATGTTAACAGCTACATTCTATCTTTAACTTTAAATTGGCAATTCCAGGGCTGAAATTAAGTTTAGTTTAAAAGACAATGGAGTATTTCCTGGATTACACATGACATCACAAGTTGGAACAGTGTGTTTTCAGTTTAAAACAATAACACAGCTTACATCTGCAGGGTTTGTGTGGTTTGTGGGAATGAAACAAAACACAACCCCAGGTATGTTTGTGATGAGGAAACAAGATTATAACATAGATCAGAGAAAAGCGTAATGTGGGCCCTTTAAACATGTGACAGTCTGAGCTTGTCTCCAGCTACGGGCTACTCTTTCTTTACATAAGAGAGAAGTGTGTCTAGTGTATGTCAAAGTGTTCAATAACAGAGTAAACGTTGAGACCACAAAGGCCCAGACACTCGTACCTGTTCTGAATGAGAGCGATCACCTGTGAGTACGTCTTCCCAAGAATACTCTCCCCATTCACTTTCACCAGACGGTCTCCTGAAAACAAACAAACAAAATAAATAATAAATAAAATGTATGTATGCATGTCTGTACTTATTTATTTTATTTTCATTTTATTTATTTCAGACACAAATATTATTCACTCCATAGTTTAAAAAAGAATGAACAGGATACAAAAAATGCACATGACCACCAAATAATTTAAAAATATATGAAAAAACATATACATAATATAAATAAAGAAGGACTACCAAGTAGTTTTCAAAGAGTAACATAAGTTTGAATGTAGACTTTTTGGGAGGGAAGTTGTATAGTAGTTGCAGTATTAGTATTAGCAGTAATAAAGGGAATATTCAATGTTTTGTAAGAAATATCCTTCCAAACATAATCCACAAATGTTGAATAGTTTGTTAGGGATTGGTTCCACAAACTTGCGATATTAATCTTATGTCTTAAAGTCCTTTAACTGACTTTGGGGTTGAATAGTGGCGCCACTTTCACTACCTATTGTGAAGAACGCCTTCCCCTTTATTTATTTGTACTAACAGAGAAGACGCTGAACTTTATGCCAGTTTTAGTTCATGTGGATAGACCCAGTAATGTCAGAGATATAAACTATAAACCTGGTTAGAAATCTTACAATTAAAAGTTAAATCCACCATAGAATTCTGTCATGCCTGTATATTGCAAGTAAAGTACACTATTACACAATATTAATCCTGTATAAGATCTTATGTGACTAACTGCTTCAATCAGTCCTACGAGGTGTGCTTGTATTTCAAATAGGCAGAACACACTGGAAAAGTAATCCACATATGCGTAAGGTGAGGGTGTGGCAAACAAAACAAAAAGGCAACGCAAATAAGGAGCCATAATGAAGAGTAAACAAATTATACTGTAATGGCGACGTAACCTCTCTGAAACATATATTAGCATGAGCACAATTGTTGCCAGTACATATAATGAAAGGCTTAATTTAAGATTATGATTATTTATAGAAAGAAACATCATGATACAAGAAGCCCAAACAGATTTTTGAATAGCTGTATTAAAGTATTATCATTTCAAAAGGCACATAGGCTTGTGTAACTGTGTGTTATTATTTTTGTTATGTGTGATTTCAAACTGACTGCAGAACTTTGATATTTGTTTTTCCAAATGTAAAGTGCAATAAAAATAAATCTGTTATTATATTTTCTAATGGAGGGTGTGCCTCCTGCTTGTTTCCATGGCGATGATTTTGCTTTACCTAGAATGTTCTGCAGTGTGGCATTAAACATAATACAGACTTTATTTAATATTGGTTGTTTTTATTATTCAAAAACACTTCAAAAAACACTCATTCTCTCCATAGATCTGACACATAATGTGGTCTGGTTGCGTCACCTGCTTGTCTAAATAAGTTCAATGCCTTTGTATGGAGCATTCTATCTAGGCAAAACAATAACATCTCCATGGATACAAGCCGGTTGCTTACGCTTCATCAGAAATAATACACAGTGCCTCTTTAATTTTTTAACAATGTCCCACCGGTGAAGACCCAGGACAAGCTGGAGTCACTGTGTCTCTCAGCTGGCCTGGGAACACCTTGGGGTCCCATCGAAGGCGCTGGAGGAAGTATCTGGGGTGAGGGAAGAGTGGAGGTCCCTGCTGCACCCACAACCCAGCCCCAGATAAGAGAAAATGAATGGATTTTTACTATTTTATTTTTCTCAATTAAAAAAACGGTCATGGGAACAGGTTTTGTAGTGCTATTACTAAACCTGTAATACTACACAACGCACAGCGAGTAACTAGGATCAATGACCAATTGTTTATATTGCTTTGTACTGACCTCCTTTTTGTTTTCATGGTGAACTTGTTTGGTATGTTCACTTTCACATTGAGGCTGCTGTACCGGTCTCTGCTCCACATATGTCAGGTTAAACTACAAAACCTCCAAACTGACAGACTGACAACTTATTTACATAATATTTGTTTTTTATGTGACACTTGGCAGCAGATCCAAGAGAAACAGAAACAGCCAAATACTACCTCAAAAATATGCTGCTCCCTATGACTTTCGATTATAGTATATGGATCATAGTATTTTAAAAGTTTACACAGCTGTCAATACAGTTATAGCACCACAAGAGTTCTACAGTACTAAACTATAGAATTTACAATTAATAGTTAGCATGCTAAGTTGTTGATTTTACTATGACGGCAAAACTCTCTGGTGTCTGAGAGTTGTGAAAAGCTCTTATAAACTCATCATGGTGAATAATTAGGATGCTCGTAAAGAAGGTAAGCGAGAAATAACTTTGAATCACTGCAAACTGTTTAAAATGAGCTGGATTTGTTTTTCATGTTTTTAAGACAGTAAAAATGAGGTACAGCGCCTTTAGTATTGTAGTGTTCACTGTATCACTAAAACATACATATAGTACAGACATGTCCAAACTATGGCCCGGGGGGCAAATGTGCCCTCACACAAATTTTTCTTGGCCCTCAGACTTCCAGGTGAATTGGCCCAAATTACCTTCCATCGATTAAAAAATATTTTTTTACTGCAAGTTTTTTGAACATCTGCCTTGATAAAGCCAATATTTAATATTTAGTGTGTGATTTTAAGAATCTTAGCATGAATAAAGACTGATGGCTCATTCTAACAAATTAAACATGCACACATTTCAATTATTCACTGTACTGAGCATCAGTCTACAGCCCTGGATCGACCCTCTGCTTCATCTGTGTTTAGATATGTGGCCCTTGATGAAAAAAGTTTGGACACCCCTGATATAGGAGGACATTTTATAAGATTAAATTTTGCATAATAATTTAAAACCATGTACCCTCCTGGTTCCTGGACCGCAGTCTAAGAACCTGTGTAGTGCTTTAGTTTAGTGTGTTTGTATGGCAGAGGAGGAGTCACATGACCTCCTGGTTTATCCGCACAGATTTACATTGCAGATCAGGAGGTTAAAGCTGTGACCATATGTTACCTGTGCAGAGGCCAGCCTGGTGCGCGGGACCCTTCTCTCTCACGTTTTTAACAAATATGGTGTCCATTGGCTCCAGGCGACCCTTCTGGTACCCTAAAATACAAACAATATTCAATTAGGAACATTTATACAGCTTATTATGGTCATGACCACATTTTTATATAGTACTTTTTCACCTTCATGGCATTCAAATCACTTTACATCAGGGAAATCATTCACACACATTTATACATTAGTGTACGCAAACATTGGAGGTTAAACTACTCATTTGACTAAAACACACTTAAGATGATTATATTTAAGATTTACCAATAATTTCACAGTGTCATTCTAAGTTTGGCAAATTTTTAGGTTTAAAATTTGACATTATGGTTCAGGAAAATCATGACAGGGAATTAAAATACACAGAAACTATTATTTGACAAATACAAATATAAGAAAACACCTTTGTTATGTTGAAATAACATATCTAAAGATGTAAGGTATCTACTATCTTTTAATGCATCTAAAAAAAAAAAAAGTTTCCTGTGTAAATTCTGCCAGACTTTTGGATAGAATTCTCCCTAGTGTGCTGTCATTAATAAAGAACTCTGTAGAAGGTGTATTGTGTCACTTTTCTGGTGGAGATGTCACTCTTTGTGTGGAATGTTTCACAGTATGACAGTATATTAAAGCTTTCTATCCTCATGAAGACCAATCCAGACCAAGTTAGAGGTCAGATCTGTGAAGAGGCAATCCCCACTCACAGTCAGAATGTTTTTCTAGGTATTTTTGAGCTATAAAACCACCTTTAATTGAATAAATGTATGGTAGAGCTGTTTAATGTCATACTGTGGAACATTCCAAGCAGAGCAATGCCATTTCCATAGAAACAAGAAGGTGACGGACCCCCTACTGAAAAGTTACACAGTGTACCTTTAAAACAGAACTTCCTACTTCCATGTAATTTTCAACATATTTCACAGCTTTTCGTCACAAATTTCTTCTTGATTTGTGTAAAACTATTATTTATATTTACAACTGGTATAATCCCACCAAATGAAATCAAAATTAGAAAATCGTCAAAACCTGTCATACGTACATTAAGTGTCTTACCTAAGAACACAAAGACAGTATTCATCTGTGGGAGCTGGAATCGTACCGCCAACATGTGTGTTCGGATCAGTGGACAAACACTCAACCCACTGAGCTATTGTCACCCACTGAGCTACTGTTGCCATATTAGCACAACAGCAATTATCTGTAAAGGTCTTTTATTTAGTATACAAAAGAAATAAGACCCAGGACCATTAAACCAGATATAATGAATTATGTTTTATGGAGTGGAAAGTCAACAGCTGTCATGACGTCTGTGGAAATTGATTTTCCTTTAAGACAATAAAGTTGTATTAATAAAGCTGAGTTATTTACCTGATTAAAACGTTCTCCAAAAGTATTCTTAGCAATATGATACAGTTATAGAGATGTAACCGAAAGAGAACAATAATATGTAAGGAAAGGATAACGATTAATTTGATGTTTTGGTCTTTGTTTTGTTTCATTTGACACATCCACCAAAAGCAGAGCAGACAGTCTATTTTTATTTATACAAGAAACAGGCAAATGCAAAAATATATACTCATATTCTTTTTTCTTTTTACAATTATTATTATTATTACTAAAAACAAAATGTAGAATTTTATTGTAATCGTGTACTGGCATTTGTCAGCTCCAACAATGTTAAAAGTGTGTTTGATTTTGCTTCCGTTGAGACTTAATACAAATATATTTAAAATTTCTAAGCACTATTCATCTGTGTTACATTACATAGAATGTAAACTATACGTCTGTTCTTGAATCTTTAAATCTACTGTTTGCAAATGTGTTTCAAAGGCTGCAATGTTGCTCAGTGCTCAGTAGAGGGCAGACAGGTACTGCACAACTGAGCTAGTAGAAGGTACACTTTATTACATCATCCTGTACAACTCCACTGTCACAGATTTTCAATTATAACCAAATTAAAGAGAAATCTGCACCTACCTTTTCCATTACCGTTCCCATTTTCCTCGTCCTGCAATGAAAAAAAAAAAAGTTTGTTAAAATTCAAGCTTAAATATTTTTTTTCTGTGACACAAACAGAAGTTATTTTTGTCCATGGAACTTAGTCACTAAACAGAAAAGCATAATGTGAAATCAAATGGGGTAAAGAATGGGGAGAGACATTTAGCAAAAAGTAGAATAATGTGCATTTCATTACATTACAATCGTCTTGTACAAACATAATACATAATTGCAAGCCCATAATTGTATGTTTTATAAATAAAAATAAATAAATAAATAAAGAAAGAAAGAAAGAGAAAATAGAACTATTACTATTATAATTAGTAACTGCATTATAAAAAAGTTTAATTATGCAAAATAATCCCCTTGCCCTTTATACAACACTTGCTCTACAAGTAAATGACTAATAAAAAGTGAGCAGTTTAAAAACATTTAACCAATATTAAACTTCCAAACATGTACTGAATTCTGGCTTAACACCTCTATTTCCATTAAAAACATCACCTGCATGTTTATGGGTGACATCACAGGGGCAAGAGGTCAAAGTGCAAAGTGCTCTGGTGGTCAGGACAGTTCCATTACCTACAGATCACTGGAGCACTGTTTACAAGCTGCTCCAAATGCCTATCTGTCTTTGGCATCTCACACCACGCGCCCAAAACAAACCTGCTGTTTTATGAGCTCAGTGTTTGTCTAAAGATTCAACACAAACACCAGGTTCAGGGGACATAATGTTTTCAATAAGTATCACCAGAACTGTAAAAAGTACCAGGAATGTGTACAAAGGGAAAGTAAAAATGTGGTTAGGCCCGTCATGCCAACAAATTATAAAATTTGATATATTGCTGAAGTAAAGGCACTGACACAAAAACTGAAGAGCAGTTAAACCACAAAAACTATTCTGCTGCTATAAATCAACAACAGAATGAAACACTTTAGTACTTTATTTGCAACTGCAATTCAACATTTTAGGGGTTAAGTTTTACCACATAGCCAAAAAATAACAAAAAATTTTAGTGTTTAGCTGTTTTAGTGCAAAGAAAATGTGTACACGATAAATACAGACACAATACAAAAAATACTGTTCCAACTACCGTGCACGTTGATATAGTATTTATTGTGACAGGCTTACATCATATATTTAATAAGTATCACCAGAACTGTAAAAAGTACCAGAAATGTGTACAAAGTGAAAGTCAAAATGTGGTTATTGTCAAAATCAAAACAGAAGGTCATGCAATCAGAAGAGACGTTTGTGACCAACTGTCATTTAGTCACTCTCACCTTTTTGTTGAAAATAAGACACCTAAATAGGACCACGAACACTTGTATTGATCACTGGCTCTGGAAAATTTGCTGTTTAAATCACCAATCTAAAGATGGGAGGTCTGATTCCCGCTTGGATCAAGTTCTGATGTTGTGTCCTTAGGCAGGACAGCTTAACTTGCTTAATATGACTGTGGTGTGTGATGGTTGCTTGGGCAGATGGTGCAGATTGGCAGCCTTGCTTTTGTCAGTCTACCCCAGGACAGGGTACAATAGTAGAATTGGTAATATGAGTATGTTGTGAATGAATAATGCACTGTAAAGAACTTCAGAAGTCTTGAAAGGTGCTACACAAATCCAATGCATTTTTATGATAATATTTACTGAAATGTAGCCATCCACACTTTGAGTTCACTCTTAATAGCTTTGGTCCTTCTTTCTGCACAGACCTCCTGCACCAGTGAGCTGAGTGGACAGTTTGGGGTTAGCAGTGCGATGTCCTGACTGCTGCAGGCTTTAGGCAGAGCTGAGTGGGCTAATTCCTGGATGAGACACAATGGTGGGGGTTTAGAGGCAGAGAAAGGCAGGCAGACGACCCCAGGACAGAGCCACGAGCCCGGGACACTCCATCACCACAGACCCCCCCCCATCGCCAGCAGAGACTATGGAGGAGCTAGTTAGCAAAGTGGGGCAAACTACACAACTGTTTAGTGAGTAGGAAGGAAGTAATGAAAAACATTAGATGCGACAAGTTGTATATAAAGGTGCACTACGCATTTTTTCTGGTGACATGTCCCCCACTTTCTTATCTTCATGGAGATTTTATAGATTTGCTTGTAATGTAATCTCTGTTGCCACAGTATGGCATCCAACTTCATGGACACAAGCATATAATGGTACCAGGCCAAATTATAGGTTAGTTCTGTGCAGAGGCAACCCTGCTAACAGAAAAACTGCATGTTTCAAAAAACGCCTGTAATTGAATGAACATGATAGATATGTCAAATGCAAAACTGAGGAGCACTTCAGGTAAAGTAGGCATACCCTCAGAAAACAGAAAAGTTACATAGCGAAAAGTTATATAGTATTTATTAACCTCTATAGTAAGCAAGGACAGCTCAGAAAGCAAACATGCTATTACGGAAGGTATTTGTAAGTCTTAGAAATAAAGGCATTCATTTCATCAAACATTGAAAGCTATAAACTGATCTATTTCCACTGTGAATGCTCCAAGTTTCCAGTTTGGTTTTAACTTTCTATCTCTCTGGAAACATGCAGGTGACATGCCCGCTACCAAATACCTTGGATACCAGTGCTTTCTTCAGTTAAATACATGATTTAAATTACAATCAAAGCATAAATAATGTCATAAATATGTCATAAATCTCAAACTTAAGCTTGAATAAACCAGCTCCTTACAAGGTCACATATGCACTGGCCTCTAATAATTGTACACTTGAAGGTAATTTGGGAGGGGATTTTGATAAGAACAAGTGTTTTTGTGTGTCTCATTGTTCCCAAAACAGCATGTGACCCTGGAGGCACCAAGGCTGGAGCGAGACAGCTGCTGCTGAGGTCCTATTGTCCAGAGACGAGCCTTGTACCACCAGGCTTCCTCTGAGTGGTACCAACTGAAGACAACAGACTATTCATAATGTGTGTGTGTATGTGTGCGTGTGTGTGCATGTGTGTGTGTGTGTGCAGCTGCAGGGAGAGGAGAGGGGTGGTATAATATTCATAATAATAATAGAGCCCTTGTTTTGCCAGGCTCACCCCATCCCAAACGCCCATATGCCTCAGTTTCACATCTGGAGACAGTTGCCCTCACTGCTAACAGCCAAATCACCACTGAATCACACAGAGGGGTGTTAGCAAAGGCCAGAGCAATTTGGGATTCAGACAGAACAAAAACAAGGTCAAGGTAACACTTTTGAGAGGGTATATCAGATTTGAACAGAGAGCATATTTTGGCAATATACAAAAAGAGAATGGTGAGGTAGACTCCATTGATTCACTCACATACAAATGATTATTGATCATTTACAAGGGATTAAACAGAATCAAATATTGTTTTTTATATTTTTGTTTTTCAGTTTATCATATAAATAATCTACATCTTCACTTCAATTTATTTTTGTAGAGCCCAAAATCACACCAGCAGTCTCCTCACAGGGCTTCACAAAATTGTTAATTTAACCAACAGACAGTCAGAAAATCAAATTAGAAAACAATAATTTTTTCAAAAATAACACAAAAAATAAAAAAATCTAAATATGCTTTCGGATATGGTTGCAGAACACATATTAGATTCAGTGCCCTGACAGTTGGTTGAATGTCTCTCTCCGCTCGTCACCCCCTTTTAAAGCAGTTTACATTCCTATACAATAATGCCTACAAAACTAAATATCTTAGGAACAATACATTGTGGTCAGTGCGTGACTTAAAGGGACACTGCGCAACTTTTCTGGTGGAATGTCTGCTACCTGCTTGTCTCCATGGAGATGTTATTTCTTTCCTTGGAATATTCCATAGTATGACATTAAATGTATCCATCTAGCATTTATTCATTATGGGTGTTGCTGTTGCTCAAAAATACAATCATTCATTTTGTGAATAGGAGCGACTCTCCACAGATTTGAATTGTAATGTAGCTTAGTGCTGTAACCTGCTCGTCTCCCTCATGATAGACAGGTTTAATCTATACACTGGAACATTCTTAACAAAGCAATAACATTTCCATGGAGACAAGCAAGTGGCGGACGCTCCACTAGAAATGTGCACTCTGTTTCTTTGTGCAATTTAAATTTACATTCCATCCAACACCTGAAAAAAGTTAACATAATACAAGTTTATTCTTCTTCATGTGTTTGTGTGTCTCACCGTGAAGCTGTTGTGCAGGGCGGACTCTGGGGGGTATACGATGAAGTGGCGAAGCGTGAACCCAAAACCCTGAGAGTTTTTATGGAGGAGCAGCGTCCGCGGGCACCTCCAGGCCACGCCCCCGTCTCGCCCGCCCCGGGACCCCAGCACCGGGCGAGGGTTATCACTGCCCGAGGAGAGACCATCCCTCCGCCCCTTACCCTGTGGACAGAGAGGAGAGACATGGGTAAATGAAATGCACAACAGAAACACAATTTTCAGAGGTTTTGAACTACACTGATGAAAAATTTTCACAGCTGCCATGGAAACTAATAAAACAAATGAATTATCTTGTTTGTTTGTTGTTAATTTAAAAAATGTGTAGATAAAAACAGTATCAAGATCCAACAAACGTATAAGAAAACCAACTTATAATGAGGACTCATAATTGCATACAAGGAATTACACACGTTTGAAAAAAAGTTGGAGTATAAACTTCTGAAATTCTTTATCATACGAATGGTAGAAAGTCCTGAATACCTGACTTGGGTACAGGAAAAACAATTGTCAAAGTAAAAAAGGAGCAATGAGTACAGTATAGTAGTACAAGAAAAAACTATAAACACACTTATGTTTTGAAATGTATTAAAGCAAAAGTAATATTATTTTGTAATAGACCTAACATACCTTCTTGTCCACAATTCTGAATACTCATTTAAATTCCACCCAAAAATAAAATTAGCTTTAAATTACACTTCAGGCCAAAACATCCAGTAATTATATTTGTCTAATAAGTTATTGAACCTAATGCATGCTTTATAGTCATGGTGTTGTATTTTTTTTTATCATACTAAACCTGTGAAGCACAACACTTATTGTCTTTCAAATGCACTATCTCAATAAATGTTATTGACTGATTTAAATTATCTAAGACTTTCCCGCACACACGCTAGTTATTGGTCAGTGAAAGTTGGAGAAAACCCACAGCACAGGAGCCCGGGGAGCAGATCTCACACCAGACGGAAGGTCTTTAAAATCACCTCTTAAATGTAACTTGAGTCAAAGCAGCTTTAAATGCCACCTGGATTTAAAACAATGGTCATGGGGGATACAACAGGGGAGTCCAACAGGAAAGCCATAGTTTCAATAGGAAACAGAGATAATAGAGGATTTAGTGGATACAAAGAGGTCCAAGATAAGGTACAAGTGGCCGCATATTGATACTTTGCAGCTATGTCACCATCATTCCCTGGGGGTGTAAATGTATCTGAAGCTCTGTTAGATTTTAATTTGAGCTTTATTTGAACACATTTTGTTGAAAGTCAAACACCTAAACAGGACCACAGAGGCTCATATTGCTCACAGGCTCCTGAAAATATGTTGTTTAAATCCATTTGGTATTTTTTCTTGAGATTTCAGACTATATCAAAAACATTTGTTGATAACGTGTGCATTGTGTCACCATGGTAACTGTTGAACATTCTGACAGTAGAGAAACATGTAACACCCCCAGCGTACTGTCATTGCAAACTATCTATTGCAACTTTATTAACATTATTCTAAGTAGCTATAGCCTACTAAAATGTTTTGTCCAGAAACCTATGTTTCTTACGATGAGTCCACATGTTTGAAAACAAATAAATAAATAAATAAAATGCATGTTACGTATTTTTATTACAAATTACAAAACATCTCTAATTTTGCATGAAAACTGCTGACCCTGGAGTTTGCCTCTGTACAAACATGTTCTCAAATGTGAATCTTGTATTAGTTTGTCAGTTCATACTGAGTTCTTCAGGGCGTGTTTAAAATTAGAACTTTGAACAGAATCCTATTATTAAAACAAACTGCTAATGTAATCGTAATTGCAGTGCTTATCAGAAAAATCACAATTAAATATTTCTCCCAAATTGTTCAGCCTTTAATCTATAATGATTTCATTTTACTTTCTGACTCTCTCAAAGTGGGGCAGAGTAAACAGGGCGAGCTCACTGTAGCTAACAGTTACACATGAGAAATATCACCCTCCCGTCGCCATAACGACCCACATATGTCACTCAAACAGGATCACCTGACCAAACAGCCCGTTACGTCCCAAAGGAGGAGGGGGCAGGGCTAACCCAGAGGTCAAGTCTCCAGAGGGGGCAGTCAGCCGAAACATGTTCACTCTTATATTTGGATAAACTCAATGAACTGAAAGAATGTCACTATATGGGATCTTAACAGGGCAATAGATCACACTATGGCATTAAACTTACCTATCACCCTGGAGACAAATGATGTGACCTGGTCAGATCTGTGGAGAGGAGACCCCGCTCACAGTAAGTATGCATGTCAAAATTCCCTCCTCAGTTTCCACTTCCAGTTCCTCTCTCTCCCACATCTCCAGAAATATCTCATTTATTCATTTATGCAAAATCACAAAATGCCATGGCGACCCCCGAGGCTTTCAGCAGGAAAAGGGAAGTAGTAGTCCAAGGTCAAGACCAAGGTTTCAGTAACAGGGTGATTTTTTATTAATAACCAATACTCTTTCACTCCTTTTTCCCCTTGTATTTCCTTTCTATTTCCTCATTCATATTTCATTTAAAGGTGCACTATGTAACTTTTCGGATTACTGTTTTTGAGTTGCCTGGAATGTCACCCATGGATGGTTTTAATTATGTTCTTTATTGCTCAAACATACCTTAAAAAAAAAAAAAAAACTACTGTGAATGAGGTTAGCTCTCCACAGATCTAACCTTTAACTTGGCCTGGTCCTTGTCTCCATGGAGACAGACAACTTTAATTGCATACTGAGGAACATTCCAGACAAAGCAATAACATCTCCATGGATACGAGGAAGTGGCGAACCCAGAAAAGATCCAGAAAAGTTACATAGTGCACCTTAAATAGCAAACTGCATCCCCAAATATTGTATAATGTAAAATACTGTCTAAAACAATTATCTTAGTCTTGTTTACTTCTCAGTTCACGACCTCTCAAATGATTAATTTAATTGCACTCATCCATCAATGATCTTAACGTTTTATTTGTGTGAATCACCTCTCCAACCTCTCCATATTTTCATAACAAATCTACCATACCTCTCATACCTTTAAAACATTACTGAGGTCTTGAACTTCCAAGGTAAATTCTTGGCTAAAGTAGGACTAAACAAGATCTAACCACACATGAGACAAAACAAAACAGAGACTTATGTAAAAATGGGGCTATTAAACTAGGCCATCATGTAATATACTGACTGGTTCAAAAAGTCAAATAAGGTTGTAAAAAATCTGTTTCAAAACAGACTCATATTTGAAGCGCTGATACAAAAATGTTGTAAGGACAAACTTGGATATTTCCTGAAAGGTTTTAGACTGATCTTGATCTATATCAGAACTATAAGACCACATGTTAATAATTATGATTATTTTGAGTTTTACAGTTTTTGAGAATTACAAAATATAATGATTACCTTAGTATTAAAATTTTAGTATTGCAATTCGTGACAACGCTACAGCCAAATCAAAAAACAAAAACAGTGACTTTTGTGGAGATTTTCTAGAATTACATTTTGAACACCAGACCAGGACCACCAGGACTAAACAGTGGGAGGTCAGCCAAAAACAGAAGTACAAAAGTGCACATTTTCATAATTGAGTTCCATAAATCTTTATGAACTTGTGTAACTTTTCTAGTGGAGGGTCTATCAAAAGCTGTTCTCCATGGAGATATTATTACTTGGTCTGGAATGTTTCACAGTATGGTATTACACCTTTCTATCTTCATGAAGACCAAACCAGACCAAGTTACAGGTGAGATCTGTGGAGAGGGACCTCCACTCAGTCAGAATGCCTGTTTTTCTAGATATATTTGAGCTATAAAATCACCTGTAATTTAAGAAATAGAGCTGAGATAGATAGATAAAATAGAGCTGTTTAATCTAAACAAAATATTAAAATGTATCAAAATTTTAGCATTGCAATTCGTGACAACACTACAGCCAAATCAAACAGGTAAGTTGAAATTTTTGAACTAAAAATCTCTAGAAATCAATTTTGAAAACAGTTGAATGTCAGCCCAAAACACAAGTACAAAAGTGCACATTTTCATAATTGAGATCCATAAATCTTTGTGAAATTTCGAGGTTTAGTCTAGCTGTCCAAACAAAGCAACGCCAGCCCTTCTAGTTTGAATATGTGGCCAACGGTGGCATGAAAGTGTATGTGGGAGTTTAACTGGACCAAAAAAAAAAAAGCTGAAGTAAGAAAGCATGCAAGGGGGCAAACAGTTAGAAAGAGGGTTGAATTCTTGCCCTGGGACAAGTCCAAACACACACTGTAAACGAGTGAATGGGGCAAGGGTGCACGGGAAGGAGGTAGGAAGTAGGAAGTAGGAGATATGGGGAGGAGGGAGGAGGAGGATTGGGATAAGGAGACAGGACAGGCACGAGCTCGCTGGTTTCGACCACATGGCCCCTCCCGCACGGAGCTGGGAATACCAACCCTGTGATTACCCAAACACATAGGACTGACTGGATCCTGGAGAGCGAGATTCCCACTATTCCGGACAATGTAGGAAATGTATTTGAACTTGCAGGAATATAACTGTTATTAAAACAATATCAATGAGCAGCTCAAGACTTTTTAATTGAGATCTATAGCCAATCCTCTGTCAGTGAAAGCATGTAGTTTGGAACAGATTTGAGACTTTCAAGGATTCAAATAATTAGATACTAATAAATACATCTCCCTCTTTCTATACATTGACCCTTTATTCGAAGATACAAGGCCAAGGGGCTAACATGGGAGTGATGGTAGGCCTTGAACATTAAACTCAACCTTTCCCAAAATAATATATGGAACCTAAACAAGACTTGTGACTTACAATATATATTTTCTTTAAAAAAAATAAATCCAAGATCTTCCCATTCAAATCCATGCACCTTCACTTGAAACATTTTTATAATTTCAAATCTGGAATTGCCAATCTTTACTAAAAACTACGGCTCTATGACATAACTAATAATGAAAGATACTCAAACATGTGAATGAAACACAACACAAATCCAGGTAAGTTTCTGATTAGGTAACAACATCCTAATGTGACTTAAAGCTCACAAGAGTCAATTTTGCGTAATATAGGACCGTTAATCAAATTACACTTTATAGTCCATAACTGTTTCCACATCTTTCATATTATCAGATTATCACACAGTATTCCCTCAATCCAGGGGA